CCATTACTTTTCCGAAAATATTTGAGCTAAAAACAAAGAGATTTAGTCAATTCTTAACAGGCCGATCTTTTTACCTGGCCTCAAACAGGACACCGTATAAGAAACCGATGGAAAGTAGTGCGCATCTCATGAAAAAAAACCAGTTTAAATTGAGAATTGGATGGCCATTTCCTAGGAAAAAGTAACCCTGTTTTGCTTAAGAATGGCAAAACTAACAGTTGTTTGGGTTGGAAGATGGAAAATACTTAGTTGTTTTTGTATATCGGCTGACATTCTAATAAAAACAACATAAACGTGGCCACTTATTGTAACCTACCCGCCCCACACAAAAATCAATGCCATTAAAAATGCTGAACATGGCGTTAAAAGGGAGGAACTTTTACTTAAATTTTGGGGTCCAAAAAGTAATCCAATAACATTGCCGCAAAACGTTAGAGACGATTTTCAAATGGTTGCCACTTGGCATTATCAATTTAGTAAATTTGACTTTCTTGTTAGAATTGACGGCAGCCATTTTAACATTGTTTATTAAATGAAAGTGAATTATGTCCGATGGACTAAGTGCGCCGAAAATTTCCCCGTGCGATACAATTTACCGACACCTTTCACTAACCCAAAGCTTTAAAGGCCATGCAAATATTTTCTATAGTTTTTTATTTTCCCACGTGAACATAACATGATCTATTTCTTATCAAATGTAATTATTGATTTTATCGGTTCTTTAGAATTAAACGTCGTTGATAAGTCCAGATAACAGTTACTCGTACAATTTTCTGGCATAATTGTCATCTTAATGTCTGTAAGAAGACACTTATTTGAAGGACAACTTCGTTACTTGTAATCCATTATAACATATCTGTGTCGGCATGTTGAATTTTTCCTTTGTAGGTTTCCACGTTATTGAATAAGACTATTATAAAAACTTATAGATAAATTTAAAGCAACAACAAATATAAGTTTCGTTACTTAAGGAAAAACATGGATGGCCGCTGGGCGGGGTTTCGCGCTCCACGCCTCGACAAGCGTGCCAGAATTCCCAAAGTCCGACGTTTCAGTCTGAAGTCAGAGTTCGCATTCCTTTTACTCTTGCCAATGTATTTAAACTCCCAAAAATTTTTTAGTTTAAACAATTATTCCTTTATAAACTTTCATTTTACAAAGATAATTTGACAAAATACTTAAATTTTGCCCGGATTGGCGAGTAAAGGAAGCTCGAAAAAGTGTTTTTTTTTGAAACCCTCTTCCTCCGCGTAAGGCAAACTATCTTCAAAGAGTAATGTATAAAATGGTAACAATTTCATTTATTGCATTATTTTTCTGTTAAATATACTAACATTTTTAAAATTAAAATCTAAAACTTGTTCTTTACAATGTACAAGAAAGTTACTTTTTTCCCCCTGGTGTCCTAATCAAACCCTGATTTAAAATAATTAAAAAGACTAAAATTCTTTGGAACTTTGGACCGTGGTCCTGTTTTTACCCCGGGGCCCTCCCAAAAGAACCGGGTTTTTGTTTTCTAGAACTGAATAGTTTTATGATTTTCCCCCGGGTTTGAAAACCAAAAAATTTTAAACAGGGTACAGGTCACCCTAGAGGGAAAACATAATGCATTGTTTTGATTCGGGCTCAACGTTTAATAAACTAAAAAAGATGTTCCCCATGGCAATGTTTAGGCAAAGAAATTTAATTTCAATATTGCAGTGGTTTCATTAAAGATTAAATTTTATTTTCCTATAAACTCACGTAAACATTACGTAAACTAAATGACCAAAACCAGGGCAAGGGGTTGCTTTTTATTTATGTGATGCAAATGCCAAATAATCTATTATATTTCGGGCAGTGGTTATTTTTAAGATATCTAAATAGATTTCATTTTTAAAAGTAAATTGAAAACCAACTTTAAGGCAATGATTTAGTGATGAAACCATTATGTAAGTTTTTTGAAGTTGTTTTTAACAAAATGGCAACAAGGGCAACAATATGTATGATGACAGACGGGTACATTCTACAATCATAAAAACTTTCATCTTACATATACTGATTCAAAAACCTTAACAATAGTCAACTTGAAGATAAAAAAACAGTTCAAAATAATTACCTGTATATCATTTAAAACTCAACAATACATGCCCGAAAATATTTGTTCAACCCATTTGCCAAATTCCAACTGGATTAATTTATGCAAAAGTGTTCATGATATTGCTGGCATTAAAAATTCAATGTATGGTTTTAAAACTGTAAAACATCCTTCAAGGCAGATGAATAAAGTTGTAAAGAAATACTGTATAATGTACTAAAATCCTTTTATTTTGATTTTTTTTTTCCTTATAAATTCAACAGAAAAAAGAAAAAACTTTAAAATACAAAGTTTTTTCAAAAACACAAACTATAAAACATGTGTACATACTGCTGAAACCAGAAAAGAGAAAAAAAAACCCATTTTTTCTCAAAAGTTAAAGCATTTAATTAAAATTTTCAATTAATGTTTTTTTTTCAGGAAAACATGTATAATATGACTTCCCCCTATAAAAAAATACGTGATAGTCATCAATATTGAAAATAATATGAATTTTGTTAAAAATAATGTATCTAGTAAAAGAAATTTAAAATTTCAACTCGTTTAAATTTACTTTCAACAACCCAACCCTTTATTTTAGTTTTACCAAAAGCTTTTTTAATTTTTTTATTTGTATGTTAAATTATATATAAATGAAGAATTTTTAAAGCTTAAACAGAATGGCTAACCAGTGGTTACTAAATTACAAACTAAATTTTATCAAGAAGGTAAAACAAAAAACTGTACATAAAAACATAGTAACAAATTTAATGAGACATTTAAAACATATATGTACGAAAAGCTTTTACTATTTTTCCTATAATTTAGTAACTCTTATTATATATATATATGAATTATTTCTAAAACTCATTAAAGATCATTTTTTTATCCTTGTGTATTATACAAGAATATATTTACCAATGATCCTCTTTTATTCGGCATGCTTCTTATGTAAAAAATAATCATATGCTAATGTTTTATATAAAAAAATGTTTTGTTCATTATTGTTAAATTGGAAGAATATCAACTGTACAATTTTTCAAATTCTGCAGTAGTGCAACTTCTATATCTAAAGTTATGAAAAAAGTTAAAAGACCATATGTTGACAGAATAAGCTGTAATGCACAGTGTGCATATTATTTTTTGACATGACATTTTTGCATTAATACAAAACATGGAATTAAAAGATAAGTTTAAAATACTTTGGAACAAACCATTACACTAGAAGAAGGCACCTCAGTAATAAATTGATTCTTTTTTCATAATTAAACAGTTTCTAATTTATGATATTTTAATACACAGAAATATATATATTCACATAAGCTTCATTTCTTTAAATTATTTTATTGAACACCTTGTTGTTTGAAACAATTTCATGTATACCATAAGATCAATATTCTGTGTTATTGATACACAATTGATAATAAACAAAATTCAATTTATTACACGTGTACACTATACATTATTTTCATTTCTTGATCCACTTTTATTAAAAGAAAAAAAAAACTAAATCTGTTTTTTTTTTTCCCATTTTTTTTTGGTATATTAGAAGTAATACTTCAAAACTTTAAATGGAGGACAACACCCTTCCCCTCCCAATAACCACATTTGGCGTAAGTACTAGGGTCATGGCAGGTACTTGGTGAAATGATTTCGTGTATAATAAGGTATGTTTTTTAATATACGTTTCTGGACAGCTGTTACTTTACATTCTAAGGGTAGTTTAAGCTAAACTTAACTTATAATATAATACTTTTCTTAATTGTTCAACCAAAAAAATGTATTAAACATTAGATAAAACGTAAAATTATACCAGGAAAATTTTTAATTTTTAAACCCAAAAACAATTTCGGTTAAAGAAAATAATGAAATTTTAGAAGAAGTTTTTAATTTCTGATAAAAACAACAACACAATTTCGTTTCATAAAAAAAGTAAAGTTTTTGCCTTTCAATATTACACAAAAACCCAATTACTTATGTACAAAAATAGGCAATATATTTCTAAGAATGTGAAAAAAATATGTAAATTTGATATCACCTACAAAAGTTCTCATAATTTACAAATCTTGATGAAACCTGCATATCATTGTAGACTACATATTAGCAAAATTTTAGTAAACACTGTTAATACGAGTATAATTATAAACTTATTATAAGTGATATTATTGTGTGTAACACTAGAAAAATATTCAGAATTAAACATAACCCCTCTTAAAGATGTGCAATAGACTCTCTGAAGCATTTTTAACCTAAAACTTACACTTTGACATTCTTTTCTGTTACTTGTCCGTGCACACCTGTTTTTTGTGGAGGGGAAATCTACGCAAGTGGTAACATACTGAGCTAGTTAATCCTGGTCACAGGTTTGATCCACTGCTCACAAGCTTATAAATACTATGGGTCTTTCAGAGAGACCTTAACAAATCGCAGGACCATGTCTCTGTGCTCTAAACCTTAGGTATGAACAAGAATCAGGGTAAGCAATGAAACAAAGGCAACTGAAGTATCATGTACTGAAATTAACAACTTTCTTTGGGGGCATCCCCAAAAAATATCTGCCAAACACAATGAATCAATTTATGTTAATTGTTTTGAAAACAAATTTCAGGAAAAAATATTTTACAATTTGTGTAATATTAAAGGGAGTTTCAAATTAATAAGAAAGGAAGGAAAGTTTCATTGTGAATTAAAAAAGATTACATTGTTGGAAAACAAATAAATTAATAGGTTTTAAATCAATTATAATGGGCGGTTTACAAATCTTAGCAAAAAATGCAACCGTTTTTTACATACATGCATTTTTCTTTATTATAACAATAAATTGTAGAAAAATATTAAATATGTTATACATTAATGAACAATATCAAATGTAAAACGAAATTTTTTTAAGCACTGAAAATTATCTGAACAAAAATGGTGTTTTTTTACAAACTTGCTATGTAAAATGTCATTATCATATCTGAGGAGAAGTGGAAAAAATTTATCAGTATGAGTTGCCATATAATATAAGATTTTTTAAACAACATCAAGAAATTATAATAGAGCAAGTCTTTTGGACTGTTTAATAAAAGTTAAATTATACAACAAAGAAACTGAGATTTTTTTATCATATTACTAAACGCATTGAAATTATTGAAAATGAACTAGTTTGATGTTTTAATGTTTTACAAGAGCTTTCATATCATGTTTTGTTATGAAATGTATAGACAAAAATGACCTCAAAATGATATACACATGTGTAAAATAAAGAAATATATAGTGGTTATATTACATGAAAAACAAGAGACATCCTGTGATAAATGTAAGTATAAATTTCCAACACAGAAATTATGTACATTTACTGACCATTGTTACAGGTTTTCTGATGCATAATCATAACTACAACAATGAAATATATACATAATATATACAACACACATATTTAATCCACTGTTACGACATGTTCTTATATACATATAACTATATATGTGCTAACATATACTTCCAACAAGAAGGCTTTGATGGCCTCACTATAAAGGCTCTAAATGACATGGGACAAATAATATTGATTACTATAAATAAACAACAAGCATAAGGTATAAATCAAGTACAACTGATATAAAGTTCAAATCTGCAGTCTGCTTCTAATATTGTGCAAATAGTCCAAATTTCATAAGTGAATCTCTAACAATAAAGAGATCACTGGGTCATATTGTGTATCAAGTACAAATTAAAGGCTCTAGCACAAGAAAGTAGTTCACTAGATAAAATACAGGTCAACTGTTATCAAAGATCAATTCAGCATATAACACAGTGACATAGTCAAAATTTCATAGTAGTACTACTAAATACAATAATCTAAGTCACTGGGTCAAAAACTGGGACAAATTGATATCAAAATTCATTGGCATGTTATATTGTGTATGTAGTCTAGAAAACATTTTCAAAAGTTTTGAATTTTGCTTTGGATACACAATATATGAAAGGAACTTTATTTCTGCAGGAAGTTTATTGATGTAAAATCTGCAGAAATTTAAGCTGATAAGTTTTGTCTGTACATTTACATGTTACATTGTTTTCTACAGTTAGATATTCTGCAATACATTGCTGAATTACATTATTGGCTTTGTATTTCAAAAGCACCGAGTCAGTTCTATATATGTTTAAATAGAGGATACTGTTACATATACATTGAATTTTCAATGTATTAATGAACTTTTGTTTGCATTATATTTTATACCATTACAATTATATAAACCATCCTAGTTATATACCCCTAACAACTATAAACTAGAACTATCACTAAATGTGATTAATACCACCGCAAGACTGCTTTGGAAATGAGGATGTTACTAGTAACAGAATACCTTGTAAAAGTTATGGTTGTGGGCAATTAAATATAGCTTTGGTTCTTGTATGTTGCATTTCCGATGAAGATTTATTGAATTACTCTGTAATAAGTCCAGAAAGACAAGGAAAAGGAACAAAGGGCAATAACTCTATAAATACTGAAGATGGAGTTATGGTAATTGTACACTGCACTTCCTCTCATTGTGCTTGACCATTTTACGAAGTTTTATTGAATTCCAACTATTAGTTTTCAAGTTATGCACTGGACAAAAAATGTAACAAAGGGCAATAACTGAAATTAGTCCAAATAGAGTATTGTTCTTGTTCTTGAATTCCAACTATTAGTCTTCAAGTTATGGTCCGGACAAAAGAAAGCAATGGAAAAGTAACAAAGTGCAATAACTCTGTAATTAGTCAAGATGGAGTTATGGTTCTTGTGTACTGCACTTTCCCTTATTATGCTTGACAATTGTATGAAATAGTTTTGAATTCCAGGCAGTAGTTTTCAAGTTATGCTCCGGACAAGGAAAAGTAACAAAGGGCATAACTCTGTAATTAGTCAAGATGGAGTTATGGTTCTTGTGCACTGCACTTCCTCTCAATGTGCTTGACCATTGAATGAAGTTATATTGAATTCCAACTATTAGTCTTCAAGTTATGCTCCGGACAAGGAAAAGTAACAAAGGGCATAACTCTGTAATTAGTCAAGATGGAGTTATGGTTCTTGTGCACTGCACTTCCTCTCAATATGCTTGACCATTGTATGAAGTTATATTGAATTCCAACCATTAGTCTTCAAGTTATGCTCCGGACAAGGAAAATGCAACAGACCGCTGGACCGACCGACCATTCGACCGACTGACCACTGGGTGACTCCTATATACCCCCCCAAACTTCGTTTCGGGGGGTATAAATACTGTTATACGTTAGCAAGCTAGAAAACAGAAGTAATATGAATATAATATACAACACAACATCTCTTAGTTTCAGATCTCCCACTAGAACTACTATCTTCTCTCTGTTTCAGAACCACCACTAGAACTACTGTCAGACTCTTGTCTCTCTGACTCAGGTATATCTAAACTTTCCTGACCTAAATCACCACTCACATTCACCGCCATACTTGCACCAACTAAATGGTTGCCAGGTTGAGGCAGGAAGCCAGCTAGTTGAGGACTACCAGGATTTCTACATACTGAAGGTCTAGGTGAGAGACTTGGTTCTGTCTGGTTCACCTTGGATACCGTACATGGACTACCTGGTGGTGATGATCGTGTTACAGATATTCTAGCAGACTTTGATGGTGTCTCGAAATGTACACAATGAAATACCTGTAAAATATATACTTGTATGACAAACATTTATGATAAAATAAAAGTTAGCTCTTATCTTATTGACCAGATGTAACAGACTTACACGTAAGTGAATTCTAACCAATATATTATTTATTTTTATTATTATATATTACATCTTTCTTAAGCTACATGTAAAATGTAAGCAGACTTTAAGGGTATAAAGCTATATATTATGAAATATATGAAAAATTTATCAACAGTAAAAATAGTTTCCATTATCTAACAGTGGATTTTTGAAAAGTTGAGATATTAATGTCTCTGTTATTTAATACACATGACTATTGTAGGTAAACAGAATAAAATTTTAACAGTATAAAATGTTCCTGAACAAAAAATCATGCTGCTATTTTAAGAAAAGTTTTAACCGTTTAACAATGAATATATAACTTACCTCGTTGGCTGTGTTATGAGTACCGACTATCTTTATAAAAGCTATTGGTTGTTTTGGAAATGTAATTTCCTGCCACGATCTGCAAATATATAACACAGAACGAATACACTTCATCTTGTATTAAAACTAAATGGCAAAAATACAGATTTAATTATTTGATTTTCACAAGTCTATTTTTAGCTTCAGTGACCTACTTAATCATCAGATTGGACCCAGTTACATGTATAGGTTAGTGTTTAATTATATGTATTAACAAAAATAATTGGTCAAGCCTGCCACAGGCAGGCGACCAATTATTTTTGTTAATGCATATCATAAACATTAACCTATTTAATGATCAACATTATTTTTTCAACCAAAAACAAGGCCTTTCACTAAATCACCGATAGCTCCGCCCTTTCGCTCTACAAGATGTCTACACCTTGTCAAATTTCTAACATATCACATTTAGATAAGCTAAATAAATGGCCCTTTCAACATATAATCAGGCACATTTTTACTGAAATGTCACAGAATTTATACCTTTATCTACAGTAATTACATGTAGGTAAAAACAATGGAGTTAATGAAATGTGTACATCCTTTTAAAATAAATGAAAAATGTGAGAAAAATACATTAGAGATTATTAATTATTTGTAAAACAGTTTACAGGTGGAGGGGGTCAGTTTACAATGAGTTTTCCAGCCAAAAATGTAATCATTGTATTCATTGTTAATGCAGTTCATTCCTATCAAGTGAAAGAAAATTGTTTTTTGGTTACTTTTTCTAGAAAATATAAAGTTTAAACAGTCAGCAATTTATAACAGACTTTAAACAGTCAGCAATTTATAACAGACATTTTTCTTAGAGTTAAAAGGATATAAAAAAGTTACTATGTAATCATTTGTCTCTGCGTGCCCCACATGTATTATCTATGTAATAAATCCTCACATTTAGAAAGCCTAATTATTTTTACGTTGGCATTGTTTTGCTAACCTTTATATTTTCCAATTCAGAGTGCAATTTACACCTCTAACTCCTCCCTAATATAATGCATTACTGAAATTTGTTAGACTGGTTAGACGACAGATTAAGTAAATTTTATTTAGTTAGTACACATTAACCAAAGTTAGACTTAGCAGAAATTTGAAAAATACTACAATGTGATTGGACAAAAAATAATGTTGATCATTAACTACAGTAAGACTATCATGCTGGAAAAAAAAACAACGAGGAAAATGATGCAATTCGGTAAAAACAATGGAGTTAATGAAATGTGTACATCCTTTATAAATAAATGGAAAATGTGAGAAAATACATTAGATTAATAATTTATACAAATTCGTTATTAACTTTAAGTTATTCACTAACATTTAAAATCCCTATTGAATTGCTCATTTGAAAAACAGATTTTCTGTGTACAGGTGGAGGGGGTCCATTTACAAAGAGTTTTCCAGCCAAAAAATGTAATCATTGTATTCTTAATATCAAGGATTGTTAATGCAGTTCATTCCTATCAACTGAAAGAAAATTATGTTTTGGTTACTTTTTCTAGAAAAAAAAAGAAGTTAAAAACAGTCAGCAATCTATAACCGACATTTTTCTTGATATAAAAAAGTTATTATGTAATTATTTGTCTCTGCATGTCCCACATGTATTATCTATGTAATAAATTAATTGATTGTATCCTCACATTTAGAAACACCTGACCTCGCTTAATTGTTTTTTACGTTGGCATTGTTTTGATAACCTTAGATATTTTACAATTCAGAGTGCAAATCACACCTCTAACTCCTCCCTAATATGATGCATTATTGAAATTTGTTAGACTGGTTAGACGACAGATTAAGTAAATTTTATTTAGTTAGTACACATTAACCAAAGTTAGACTAAGCAGAAATTTGAAAAATACTACAATGTGATTGGACAAAAAATAATGTTGATCATTAATACTTTTTTTTGGGAAGTTACTTAAGAATAGTTCTTGTGAAGTTTGTTCAAAATCCTTCAAGTGATTCAGGAAGGCATGGTGTTAAAAAGAGAAACTGTGAATAATAACAATCAACAGACTACATGTCATCACAAAAGCTAATGTCCGATCAAAATTTATCATATGATTTACAGTAGTATTCGTATCTTTATTTTTGAGCCATGAAAAACTACCTTATGTACAAAATGACATATTAAATTATCTTATAAATCCATGAACAATCATTTCACTCTGTAATTATACAAATCACCACGATGAAAGTAAAAAATATTATGCACATATATGAAATAGAGCAATGTATGTACTTTTTTCATTGACAAACTTTATAAATTTACTTGATTTAAAGGAATAGATAACATAAAGCCCTGGTTTTCAGTCTAATATAGACATTATTATTATAAAATACTACTCCTCCATATTATCTATTATTTAAAGACTGACTGAATTTTCAATAATAACAATTTAGAATGTAAAATAATGCCTACTTGGATGGTGTATTTCTTTTATCACATATCATAGTCCAGTTTGTGTTGTCTACAGACGCCTCTATATAATAACAATACGAACGGTCATCACAGTCCCATAGTAACATCCTGTATATAAAATATCATAAATCATAACATCCTGTATATAAAATATCATAAATCATAACATCCTGTATATAAAATATCATAAATCATAACATCCTGTATATAAAATATCATAAATCATAACATCCTGTATATAAATTATCATAAATCATAACATCCTGTGTATAAAATATCATAAATCATAACATCCTGTATATAAAATATCATAAATCATAACATCCTGTATATAAATTATCATAAATCATAACATCCTGTATATAAATTATCATAAATCATAACAACCTGTAAAATATCATAACAAACCTACTGTCATTTTCCTGTTGTATTTATATGTTCACACACAAACAAGACAAAGGTCCAGTTTATTTTTCATACAATATAATTCAACAGTTTTTACCTTTGATTATTACAAAAACGTTGAAAGAATAAGTCAGTTCCTACTTTTGGTTTATTAAGTATGTATACAATAACTCAGAATTCTTTTTTTACCTTTTTATTAACCTCTAACATGCTCTAAAGCCATCAACTGAATTTTTATCAAACTCCTGTTTGCCCATTCTAAAACAGGCACAATGTACTTTAAATATCAAATGACATATAATTATCTTAGATTATCAAATGTATAATTCAGGAAATCTAATTTTTACCTCATAGAATCTAGCATAAAAGGTTGTGGTAACTGTATAATGATATTTCCACTACCCAGCTGGTGACAGGTATAACCCGAGTCCCAGTCATACTGATGTGTATCACCGTTCAACAGAGCATTTCTACTGCGACTAACACCCTCTATGACACACGCATTCCTTGATATGGTTGCTACATTTTCATCAGGCACTACAACAAATAACATAATTATATACTTTAACAAACATGTAACCAATCACAAAAATGTACATAAATAACATCAGTAATTATCTTAAACTTGATGACCAGTGTTAGTTATTGGTGAACTAAATTACCAGTAGAGTTCATTACAGCAATAATTGGACAATTGGTTATGATTTGCATGTAAATAAAGCAATAATTGGACAAATGATTACCATTAACATGCATACAAGTACAATGGGCTATTTATTTATTTCATGAAAATTGTAGTAGTAAGTCTTTAACTGGTAGTCTGTGGCCTAGTGGTTAATGTTGTTGACTTCAAAACACTTGCAACTTCACTGCTGTGGGTTTGAATCCCACCAGGGACTTTGGGTTCTTTCTTATGAGAAAGCTATCCAGCTAGCTTACAGAATGTTGATGGTTCTACTCAGGTGCCCGTTTTGAAATAATGCACTGTATGGCACTTGAGATCTTCCTCCACCAATAAAGCATAAAGTCACCATATGGTGTGTTGCAAACCAAACCAGAACACACAAGACATGCCTTTAACATCAGGAAAAGTTATGCCTGATTGTTCTAACAAGAAACTTTAACAGACTTACTATTCTGGCTGCCTTGTTTTGTACATAATCATCTAAAATCATTTGAATGATCAATAAACAGTGTGACAATGATTAAGGAATGTAAGGAATGCAAGAACTGTACACAACTATACACAACTGTACACAACTGTACACAACTGTACACAACACACTATTTATTCACACAAGTCTCTAGATTAACTCACCTATTAGGCCTCTCTCAAGACGGAAAGGTTTTGTTGTATGTAAACATTCAAAAGATACCAAATGGAACACCCTGTTTTGTGTATTATGTGTACCAACAACTCTTATATACCTGAAAAATAAATATGATAAAATAAAACCTTATTTTAATATAACAGCATAAGTCATGTTAACATACAGTTTTGAGCACTAACTTGAATCTGTGTGACATGGAGATTAAAAAAAAAAGACAGTATCACTTAAAAAAGATCCAATTCTTTAATTGATGATTGTGCCCAATGGTCCCATTATAGTTTATATATTGCGCCCATTTGTACTTTAGGGGGCCATAGGTGCAATAGCGCAGTCTAGATTGAACATTGGACTTCTTTCCGTCGTTTTAAGGATTGATGTTGCACACAAGACTTTAATCAGGAATTTCCTGGTAAAGTGACCTCCTATTATGATTTCAAAGACACGTGTGAAGGTTCAGGTAAATATCTTAAGAAGTTGATGAGATGAAATGTTGTACAAGAATTGCATTTACAATTTTAATCAGTGTTCTACTGATGCAAATACCGTGTCCCCACCCAACTATTCTTTAAACAGCTAACAGGTCTTTAAAGCTACATACCTCCAGATTTATGCTAATTTTTATGAAAATTCTAAAACCATATTTAAAAGTAAAATATTGTAAAGTGAACAAAGGAAATAATTAACACATTTCAAACATGCAAACAGCAATTGCTATCAACATAAATTACCAAAAAGATGTCAAAGTAAGTGAAAATAGTCCTTACTATGTTAGTCTAACGCAGTAGAAATATGGTGATAAATAATGCCCAAATCAGTCCTTAATTGCAAATAACATGTCAATTATAACTTTAATTTTTAATCTGTTAACTTTTCTTGAAATCTACATTACTTTTTATCAATTTTCTTGAAATAATTTGGCTCATCTGGAGGCATGCAGCTTCAAAGATAAAACAGTAAAGCATACCTGACAACTTTAGCTGGAAAGTGTAATGTTTGTTCAGATCTACACCAGTATCTTGTATAATCTATAACTTTCTCATAATCTTTGTCATCCATTGATACTTCTATATAATACGAATAGGACCTGAATAAAAATATATTCAAATTCTCATATAATTATGTTTATAGATAAATTCAACTGCATTCACTTTATAGCAATTCAACAAGGTGACAGACTTAAAGCTAAGATGAGATTAGACTTAGGCCAATGATGTTTCTTATAAGCTCGGTATGCATGTTGCCATAATGAGGTCAAAATAATGACCTTTAATGTTGTGCATCCAATTTTCTTTTTTACTGTATTAACTAGGTAACTAAAACTATAATTTATCAGTCTGATCATTGGATGACATTTACACAAAAGGTCAAAATCTTTCCCTTTTAAAACAGAAATTTCAAATTTTTTTTCAAACTTACTATTTTTTTCTAAAGTTTGACCAGAGTGGTCCTAAATTATCATTATTCTTTCTTTTGTTAATGAATATACTAGTTACCTGTGATCTCGGTCCCACAATAACAGTTTAATAGTATTGAGTATATAAGGCTGTGCTAGTTTGATCACTATTCCCTGACCGTTGTTGTCATCAATCAAATGTCGTGTAAAGCCACGGTCAAGGTCATATGTTGATGTGTCGCCGTCCAGCAGTGCGGCTTTCATCTCACCTCGTATCACCTGAGCTCCATGCCTTGTTGTCGCTACATTCTCCTCCGGTACTAACAATCACATAAAATATCATGTACATTTTCTGTGTGAGTATTAACTATTCCTTAAAATGTCTAATAAATGACAATACATATAAGGTTTCAACCGACTAAAATTGTTATAGTGACTTACTTGTACCCAAAATAGAATAAAATAATATTGTATATAATCTGTTTTATTACATTTTTTTGATCTAAAAGAAATATATGTCATTTGAAAATGTTAAATTAATGCCATATTTAATGGTTAACACCCTTCACATTATTCCCTAATCAAACAAATAGGACTGTCAAGTGCATTACAACACGATATATGCACAGCATAAAAAGGAATGGTTACACACCATATTGTCAATAAACCAAATGGAGTCAGGAAAATTACTTCTATGCTCAATGTAGTTCAACACCTTTTTATCAATTCCCTTTTCATAATTATGTTACAATGGAAATAGATATCCATTTTTCTTGCATTGAAGTATGATATCATGATAACTGATTTATCATTTAAATGCTTTGTAATTAATCACTCCTTTGTGATCATATTCCTGCATATTTGAACTCGACCTATGCATTATTCTACAACAACACACTCAATATCTATTCCTTCAATAAAATTATCATAACATAGCTTGAACAATAATGAGTCAATTTCTTACATTTAAAGCCTCTATATTTCAGCTCCATATTTCTACACTCTGTCTGAATCTTGATGGCATCAAGAATGGCATCTGGTGACACAAATGAGGTATCTCTAACAGCATTCAGTAACTCATGCATGGACATTAGAGCAAGTCTCACAGACTCTAATATAGATGTAGGATCTTCACCTTCATTCTCTACAGCCCATCTCTGTATAGAGGTAAATATCTCGATCTCCGGGGCACAAAACGAATCCCTCGAGATCAACTCCTTCACAGAGTGCTAAATATAATATACAATTATAAATCAATACTGTTAACAGAAAATATCATTTCACCTCTGTAGTTCATATCAAACACAAACAGAATATACCCAATAAAATGTTTTAAATGGGCATTAAGAGGGGAAAATGAATTCAATTAACATATCATTTGTTTATATGTTAAAGGCTGGGACATCTCCTGCATTTAAGCCATGACTCAATAAGATAAATAAGGATCACTAATTGATGCATTTATACATTAGATAACTCACCTTGGACAGTGTAAGGAAAGCTTATATAGATTACTCACCTTGGACAGTGTAAAGAAAGCTTATATAGATTACTGACATTGGACAGTGTAAGGAATGATTATATAGATTACTCACCTTGGACAGTGTAAAGAAAGCTAATATAGATTACTCACCTTGGACAGTGTAAGGAAAGCTTATATAGATTACTCACCTTGGACAGTGTAAGGAAAGCTTATATAGATTACTCACCTTGGACAGTGTAAGGAAAGCTTATATAGATTACTCACCTTGGACAGTGTAAGGAAAGCTTATATAAATTACTCACCTTGGACAGTGTAAGGAAAGATTATATAGATTACTCACCTTGGACAGTGTAAGGAAAGATTATATAGATAACTCACCTTGGACAGTGTAAGGAAAGCTAATATAGATTACTCACCTTGGACAGTGTAAGGAAAGCTTATATAGATAACTCACCTTGGACAGTGTAAGGAAAGCTAATATAGATTACTCACCTTGGACAGTGTAAAGAAAGATTATATAGATAACTCACCTTGGACAGTGTAAGGAAAGCTAATATAGATTACTCACCTTGGACAGTGTAAGGAAAGCTTATATAGATAACTCACCTTGGACAGTGTAAGGAAAGCTAATATAGATTACTCACCTTGGACAGTGTAAAGAAAGCTTATATAGATTACTCACCTTGGACAGTGTAAGGAAAGATTATATAGATAACTCACCTTGGACAGTGTAAGGAAAGCTAATATAGATTACTCACCTTGGACAGTGTAAGGAAAGCTTATATAGATTACTCACCTTGGACAGTGTAAGGAAAGCTTATATAGATTACTCACCTTGGACAGTGTAAAGAAAGCTTATATAGATTACTCACCTTGGACAGTGTAAGGAAAGATTATATAGATTACTCACCTTGGACAGTGTAAGGAAAGCTAATATAGATTACTCACCTTGGACAGTGTAAGGAATGATTATATAGATTACTCACCTTGGACAGTGTAAGGAAAGCTTATATAGATAACTCACCTTGGACAGTGTAAGGAAAGCTAATATAGATTACACACCTTGGACAGTGTAAGGAAAGCTAATATAGATTACTCACCTTGGACAGTGTAAGGAAAGCTTATATAGATAACTCACCTTGGACAGTGTAAGGAAAGCTAATATAGATTACTCACCTTGGACAGTGTAAGGAAAGCTTATATAGATTACTCACCTTGGACAGTGTAAGGAAAGCTTATATAGATAACTCACCTTGGACAGTGTAAGGAAAGCTAATATAGATTACTCACCTTGGACAGTGTAAGGAAAGCTTATATAGATTACTCACCTTGGACAGTGTAAGGAAAGCTTCACTCTGGAGAATCGGTGATGCGTTTCTATCCATGAAGTCCTTACAAGTTTCACATAAACTGTGTAGATTATAAATGTTGGCTAGATCATATATCAAACAAACATTTCTGATGTTTAATATAGCCTTCAAGTAGTCGGATATAGCAGATTCTAGCTCTGTGAAACCATACCTATGAGCCATACCAAGTATATCTAGTAGATGTTCCTCCTGCAAAAAATAACAATTATCATTATAACTGTCATTAATAAAGTTAAATATTTTCTCATTTGGCTAGATTTTTCCATTTTTCCAAAGTAAAAAAAAGTTTATAATACTGAGAGGAGAAAATGTAATTAAATTTTAGACTTGTAGCATTATATAAAATATATATTACTTATTTGATATATGTTTTCTGATGATAAATAAAGGTAAAAATATATGAGAAATGTATATATAAATGTATAATATCTACATGTATATATACATTTCTCATTTCGGATTCTTCCTGTTCACATCACTATAAGAATATTTTTGTTTTAATATCATGTTGTTATATTTATATTTAATTTACCTTAACTTCCATCAAATTCATTTTTCCTGTATACATATATTTAAGAACAGCTTCAAAAGCTTTAGCTGACGTGTCCTGTAATTTAACTTCACTGGTTCCCGGCTGTGACTCCCTCAGTCCACCAAATAACATTGCCCTAAAATAAAAAACATCAATGCAAAATTGATATTAATTAGTGTTGCCATAATGCATTGTTTTAAAACATGCTAAGATTGACTTTTATAAATGGAAAATTTATTATACATACATTTACATAAAGAGGGAAGCTGACTAATACTTGAAAAAACTAGTAGCCTATAAGCCATTGTCGCTAAAAAATTTAAAGTGACATTATGCCCATCTAAGGGTATATAACGCGTGAACGGGTGAATATCAAAATAAGTTTCATTTCGCCATAATTCCTTTATACTTAATTATTAAGTTCGCATAAACAATAAGTAACGCAGAGATCCCAACGAAATTTCTGTAAATATCTATTAGAATTTACACCTAACCCTTAGTTTATAAAAAGAGTGGGGCAGTCTTTTTAGATTTTAGGCTGATTTATAATTTTATTCAAAACATTTTCCAATATCAACTGTTGGTCAATCACCATTTTGTCAGTTAATCTTTTGAAATATAAAGTCAATTCAGCTCAACTTGACTATGAAAATATGAGCATAATGTCACTTTAATCTAAACAAATTCAAAAGATGTTGATACATACACATGAATATATTTAAAAGCCTTTCTAGATAACTCACACCATTATAATTAAAATGGACTTTCAATCTGCACAATAACTGATCAATTTTAAAGGAAAATTCATATTTTAAAATCTGTTCAAACTTAATTGAGAACAGTGAAGAGTATCATATATCAGACAGCACAGTTGTGCCCCATGATCTTGCTCAGCACCGATTGTTTGGGTAGATTCAGTTTCTGCAAGAAGGTATGGAGTTAAACATGATAGGCTATACTGCTTATTCAGTGTTGTCTGGTTTTTTTTTATTATGATAAACAAGTATAAAAGAAAACATGTATGCATGATCATCATTAAATTCAATATCATTAACAAAACATCCTTCCTGTTAATTACTGTCAAAGTTTAACACTTTAACTGTATAACAGCATTTTGCTTTATAATCATTCCCCAGCAGATTTCCTTTGTTTAAATGAATTACACAAAACATTGATGTGATGTAATATATACATTTTTTTTTTTTTTTTTTTTTTTGGGGGGGGGGGTTTTACGTCACATCGACACAGTATAGGTCATATCGCGACGTTCCAGCTTTACTGGTGGAGGAATCCCTCAGGTGCCCTTTCATGCATTATTTCAGGCACGAACGGGTACCTGAGTAGAACCACCGACGTTCCGTAAGCTAGCTGGATAGCTTCCTCACATGAAAGAATCCAAAGTTCCTGTCGGGATGTATACATCATAGTAACATGTACTGTAAGTTTTTAAGAAAATGCATTAAAACACGAACAGTACTAGATTTTGCTTTAAACAATAAAATACCACATGTGTTATTATATATTACTTATATATTTCATCCTATTTTAAACTATTAAGGTAATAGGTAACATTAACGCATGTCAAAAAAGGTACCTGAAATATTCTGATCTAGCAGCTAGAATAACTTTATGAGCCTGAAATCTCCGCTCCTCAACGACCAAGGTAATATCACTATATTCGGAGTTCTCAATTAACTCTCCTAGATTGTTAGATAATGATGACACATGGTCGATGATTCCTGACGGGTTTAAACCCGGTGATCTCATGTGGTTGTAATCACACATTCTTCTTTATTCTATGCCATTCGAAACTAAAACATAAAAAACTGTTATATAGTTATAACTGCAAAATCATTGCTGACATATATTTGTATAGTCTTAACTTTATTTGTGATAACCTTTATAAATATGATGTTATCCTGTCTGTTATGGTCAGTTCCATGGCAAGAAATTCTGTTTAATATACCTTGCAGTAATTACGAAGTCCAGAAAAGGGCTGGTTTCTATATATATTGAAAATTATATGCTTGTTATTAAATCATAAGAGCTTTCAAAATTATAGCACCTAATTCAGTTAAATGTTTATAACAGCTTGCAATGAGACTTTGTATTAAATTGATTATAAGCTTATACGGGCCCGTACGGCTAGCCAAAAGTTCTAGCCGTATGTGAGTCACGCACGACTAGCAAGGACACACTGTATTGGCTAGCCATACGGCACTATCAATATTATATGGAAGTTGAAAATGCATATGTTATTTTATGACTTTAAGCGAGGATTTCAACCAAGAAACAGCAATTGTCTTCGTATGTTTACTTTTAAGAGATTAATCGCAGTTTAATAACATCAATTGAAATAGTTTACACAATTTTGATAATAAGCCTCTTTTGTTTCATTAAGTTTAATTTTTAAATTGAAAAAAAAACAAAACAAAAAAACACCGAAAATAATCGTTGTTTGGCTGTGATAATTGTGTCAATTACCGACGGTAAAGAAGTTTGTCCATCATTAAGGAAAGTTTGCATGTTCCGTGAAACGCATTCTAAAATTCTATTGTCAGTCCCTGGGTAGGCTTTAATTAAGGCTAATTAATTGATTGTGCTTTTATGTTCGATATTTATCTACTGTATTTGAAAATTATTATTTTTTTTTTTTGCTTTTCACCGTTTTATTTTTCAATATTCTTTTTATTTATTTATTTATTCCACTCCGATTATTATTTATTCGATCCATATGTTCTTAATTAACAAAAAAGATTTAATAATTCATCTAAAATACAAATTTTCATACAAGTAAAACAAAAAATCATTATAAGCATGAAAATCAAGGACGTTATAACTTATAACATGCAATTTTGACAATTATCAAGATAGATTATACAACGCTTGTAAGTATTCATTTTTTCTTACAAAACAGCGGAGAATCTTTATTACAGTGAACACACTATGACAAATGCGGAGACTTGATTTAAATCCTCGTTTAAAGACACAAAATAACATATATGCATTTTCGACTTCCATATAATTTTGAAAAGTGCCGTACGGCTAGACAATACAGTGCGTCTTGGCTAGACGTACGTGACTCACGTACGGCTAGAACTTTTGGCTAGCCGTACGGGCCTGTACGGCTAGCCACTTCCTAATTAATTTAATATATTGTCAACACCTTCACAGCTTTTTAAATTGAACTGTAAATTATATTCAACAGTATTGCTAAATTAAAATAAGAATAAAATATATATATAGTGTAGATTACCTAATGTGCATGATAAATATTAGCTACATAACAGAAAAATGGATGTCTAATTGACATGAAAATAGAAATTAGAATATCATTTATCTTTATTTATTATCTTTGATACCATCCGAAAACCTTTCCGAAATCACGATATAAATTTCGGTAATTTATCGTTGGTGCTTTGGAAAATGAATCATGTCACAGACAGAAAATCAACATATTTTAAAATAAAACCATCATTTAACTTAAATACCACTGCAAATACCTGAAAAATCAATGAATTTCTACTGATTTTTTTCTGGAACCATTTCAAACGGTGCAAGTACTAACATAACCATTGCAAACAATCCTACTAAATATTTGACGAATTTTGTTGTATCGTTGTCGACACAAGATACGATTTTAAAAGTTCAAAATCGTTTAATTAAGATTTCTTAAATGACAAAAAAAAAAAACGGACAGTCCAGTAATGGCTCTGTGTCACTTAGACATTTTGTGGGGGAAATATGTAAATCTCTTTAATTTTGTATACATTTTTGTTGTTTATATTGAATACAATTTACACATTTAGTCTGTATTGTATGTTTACTAATTCGCTATTCAAATTTTTACAATACAATACAATACATTACAATACAGTTTATTTGCTTTAAACATTATAACAACGTTTCTAGCATAATAATAGACAGGTAACATAGTTATTAGTAACAATATGCAAAACATCATGTTATGAAATCTGTGTTAGCGGAGGGATATTTGTTATAAGACAAAAAATATAAATCTTGATTTGATATTTTTTGTGATGAAATACATAAAGATTACTACACAAATTAAGAGAAAAATGTTAATTACCTCTTCTTTTAAATGCAAAGTATAAAAATCTTGATAAATTTTGAGTCATTTTTCTAGAATTAGATGATAAGATACTTTCAAACTTTGTGATTGTTGGCCAATGGCAATAATAACTTGGCAAATATTTTATTCTTATATCTCTATAGTAAGGGCAGATCAACAAGAAATGATATTCGTCCTCAATTTGATTAGAATTACAAAAGGTACATAGTCGACTTTGCCGGAGTGTGTCGTCATATCTTCCAAATTCAATACGTAAATTATGTGCTGAAATTCTGTATTTAGTTAAAGCTATTCTAAATTTTTGTTCACAAACATCTGAAAAATATTTCTCTAACAAAAAATCGTGTTTATATATTGAATAAAAATGTAAGCGACTCGAATTATTTATTTCACAATACCAATTTTGTTTGTATAAGTATCAATAACTCTTAACTTAATCTCTTCAAACGGAATATATATCAAACTAGCAATTCCAAATATAACTGAAACCGTGCATGACTATCTAATATCATTTTGATTTGAGTTGCCCAATTTTGATAGAAATGGTTTCTATTATCTGTATGATTTTTCAGCATGAGAAAGCGAATTTTGATCTTGTTTTGATATGTGTACCCAATACTTAAGCATATTTATTTTTCTATTACATTCCATCGGTAATCGTCCAGTTTCACCATATAGTGCACATATATTGGTTGACTTTTTGACACAAAGAACTCATCTTAAAAATTTTGTATGTACAGCTTCGATATCTGGTGCTTTATGACTGCCCCATATTTGTGAACCAAAGTTAAGAACGGAACCGACAAGAGTATCAAATAACGAAAGCTTTTGGGACATTGATAATTCGGCGTAATTAAGGATTTTAAATAAAGAAAATGAAGCATGTTGCGAAATACTTTTTTGGGTGCGAAACCAGTTACCATTTTTAAACAAAGTTATTCCTAGACATATTTACATATTATGTCCAAAAGTATCTGAGGTATAACGAATTATACAAGTGTTGGGTTAGAAGTGGAACTATAAGTAAGGTATATGTCCTGAAAACGTTTTAGTTCAACCAGATCTAGATCTAGAACAAGAAATAGCACTGAAGGCAAATTGTCTTACTACTAAAGTTAAATGAAATTATCTACAAACAGTCATAATAGAATAGAGAAAAAATCCCTAGAATCCCTAAAGAAAGTATAAAATGGCAAACTGAAAATGTTGCAGGCTAGGTTTGATTGAGCCTGTTCATGGACGTACGGTACTGGAAACTTTAAATGCAGCTGTTGTCACTATATAGCATTGCATATGGACATATTTTGTTTTTTTTAATAGTTTGCCCTATCAATAATAGTATATTAATATACTAGACAAAGAAAATTATTTGGAGACGTTAGAACTGATGTCGAATTTCAAAAATGTTCTTGATCAACTTTCTTGAAATTTAAGCATACCAAACCACAAGGATTGACTTGTCATTTTAGAAAAACACAACTCACACGCGCGCACACACACACGCACGCACGCACGCACACACGCACACGTACACAACAGCGAACACATGAGCGGTGTACCCAGTTCTCATTTATGATAATCCAAGGACAAGTGCTTGATTGACATGGAAAATGATATAACTGAGAAGCCTGTCGTTCGCCGGACTGTTAATGGACTTCATTTGCAGGCTTTATGATCAATTATGGTTAAAAGGTGTTTATATGAAACATTTCAAGATATCCTAATAGGCTGACCGTGTCTATTTCATTACGTATCCAAAACATCTGAAAAATTAGATAAGATCTGGTGCACAAAACCAAAAAAACTTTTTTGTCCGAATAATTTGTTTAAGTAGTTAATTGAAGTCGGAGCACTTGTCCCTGACTGGCGGGGTATAAATTCCGCTTAGAACTTAATGACGATTGTCTCATGTAGAACTATTAAGCTGAGAAATGGATTGTCTTCCTCCACTAGTAGAGTTTGAAAGTCACCATATGTCAATGCACAAAATATTTGGACGTATACCGCGGGTATTTGAAATTTTTTTTCCACATTTATCCATTTGGATACTTATGTAGGAAGAACAATAGGTAACTGTACTTTCTTATTGCTTTTATGCTTTTTGTGCCTAAAAGCACGGATTTATAAATCAGTGCTAAAGGTACAATAGAGTAGTCACACAAGTACGGTCTCGTTAGAACGTCCGCTATAACGTATAAAGAAAGAGTCGCTACTTCCAACAAATGTAAAAGAAATCGAAGATGCGAAGTCATTTAATGAAGGACTACCTGTGCCTATGCGAATTATAACCAAACAAAAAGGAGAGTTGTTTTGTTGCCATGTCTGATTATATATATATAAAAACATCACAGAAATAGCATAAATTGTACTGTTTTCACTATTGCTAATAGTATCAACTTGCGTATATTAACAGATGAAGACTAGCGATTTTGCCAAGAAGAGATGAGATATCTCACAAAGATACAAGATATCAAACTAAACCACCTATCTTAAATATACGATACCATATCTCATAAACACATACCATACCATATCATAAACACATACCATATCCCATACCATACCATATTATATCCCATACCATACCATACCATATCCCATACCATATTATATCCCATAAACACATACCATACCATCATATTCCATAGATACAACACAAAAACCCTTGTATTTTTGATAAAATTTGAGTTCTATGACTTGCAATTTCCACCTTCAATAATTTATTGAGTGGTAATATACATGTATGTGTCACTATGGTAAAGCATGGAAATTCTGATTATTGTAGTGCATGTTTGTTTTGGGTTTTACGTCACATCGACACAGTATAGGTCATATCGCGACGTTCCAGGTTTACTGGTGGAGGAACACCTCAGGTGCCCTTCCGTGCATTATATCAGGCACGAACGGGTACCTGAGTAGAACCACAGACGTTCTGTAAGCTAGCTGGATAGCTCTCTCAGATTAAAGAATCCAAAGTCCCTGTCGGGATTCGAACCCACAGCGGTGAGGGGCAAGTTTGTAGTGCATGTATTTAATTATATATTAATTAAACATTAAGAACAATACAAAACTTCTCAAAGTTTTTAAAATATTTTATTCAAGTTTAACTAGTATAATGCAAGATTTATATACATATCACAAATATCAATGATGTACTGTTACAAACAAATTTACTACAATTCTTTAGTACCTTCTTTATTTATGTTTACATCTTACTTATACATTACAATAAATGTTAAACTATAGGTTTTCAAAATCAACATTCCTTTTGGGGGCTTTATGTTATATTATAAATCTAAAATGTAAATAAAAATAAAACTTTTAAACTCAAAATTTGAAAATATATAGCATGTGATATTTAACTAATAATTTGAAAATAATATACTGTATAACATATTGATAGGCATTTTAAACCAAGCAATAATGTGAAAATGTCCATTTTCAAACATTGTTTTGCAAGTGATTTCACTGTGCATTAACAGTTTTAAAGAGCAAATATACAAACAAAATCTCCACACTTTGCTGCAACATTTTATATACATACATGTATGGATTAAAATAACACAATCGTGTGTAAAAGTCTATAATTATTATGCAAGGTGAGTTTTTAGTATAAACTCCTGGGCTATCAATTTCTACTCTACCTTGAACAATAAATTATTCCTGATATATGGGACTAACTTATTATACCACTTTACACCCATTGTAACAGGTAGAACTTTAAACATGATAACACACCCATTTTAACAGGTATCACTTTTTACTCCATTTTACAGGAATTGTGAATTGTAGTGGGTAAACTTGTGACATGATGTAACTAGTAAACTTGTTACATGATTATACATGTTAATTTCATTCATTTAAAGTTATACAATAAACCCAAATTTCCGTGCAATCAATCATGAAAAGTTTTTACCTCACACAATAATTATCTTTTTGTCTAAAAGTCAATTTAAGGTCAGAACATTTAAGACATACAGGGACTAGGACGGTAATTGAAATAATGCCCAAAATATATTTCTCATACCATTATATAAATATCTTAAATACAACTATCACACAACAAAAACACCAACCATACAATTGTATATGGTCATATCTCAAATAACCTACCATACAATATCCTAAATATGCCCGACATACCATCATATCCTAAATATGCCTGGCATACCATCATATCCTAAACATGCCTGGCATACCATCATATCCTAAATATGCCTGACATACAATCATATCCTAAACATGCCTGGCATACCATCATATCCTAAACATGCCTGGCATACCATCATATCCTAAATATGCCTGACATACCATCATATCCTAAACATGCCTGACATACCATCATATCCTAAACATGCCTGGCATACCATCATATCCTAAATATGTCTGGCATACCATCATATCCTAAATATGCCTGACATACCATCATATCCTAAACATGCCTGGCATACCATCATATCCTAAATATGCCTGACATACCATCATATCCTAAACATGCCTGGCATACCATCATATCCTAAATATGTCTGGCATACCATCATATCCTAAACATGCCTGACATAACCATCATATCCTAAATATGCCTGGCATACCATCATATCCTAAATATATCTGGCATACCATCATATCCTAAATATGCCTGGCATACCATCATATCCTAAATATGCCTGACATACCATCATATCCTAAATATGCCTGACATACCATCATATCCTAAACGTGCCTGGCATACCATCATATCCTAAATATGCCTGACATACCATCATATCCTAAATATGCCTGGCATACCATCATATCCTAAATATATCTGGCATACCATCATATCCTAAATATGCCTGGCATACCATCATATCCTAAATATGCCTGACATACCATCATATCCTAAATATATCTGGCATACCATCATATCCTAAATATGCCTGGCATACCATCATATCCTAAATATGCCTGACATACCATCATATCCTAAACATGCCTGACATACCATCATATCCTAATATGCCTGGCATACCATCATATCCTCAATTTGTCTGGAATACCATCATATTCAAAATATGCCTGACATACCATCATATTCAAAATATACATGACATACCATCATATCCTAAATATGCCTGGCATACCATCATATCCTAAATATGCCTGGCATACCATCATATCCTAAATATGCCTGACATACCATCATATCCTAAATATGCCTGGCATACCATCATATCCTAAATATATCTGGCATACCATCATATCCTAAACATGCCTGACATACCATCATATCCTAAACATGCCTGACATACCATCATATCCTAAATATGCCTGGCATACCATCATATCCTAAATATATCTGGCATACCATCATATCCTAAATATTGCCTGACATACCATCATATCCTAAAACATGCCTGACATACCATCATATCCTAAATATGCCTGGCATACCATCATATCCTAAATATGCCTGGCATACAATCATATCCTAAATATGCCTGGCATACCATCATATCCTAAATATGCCTGGCATACCATCATATCCTAAATATGCCTGGCATACCATCATATCCTAAATATGCCTGGCATACCATCATATCCTAAATATGCCTGGCATACAATCATATCCTAAATATACCTGGCATACCATCATATCTTAAATATGCCTGGCATACAATCATATCCTCAATATGCCTGGCATACCATCATATCCTAAATATGCCTGGCATACATCTAGCATCCATCATATCCACATACATTTTAAAGTAGCACCATTTCCCGGTCCTGCTGTGATCTTATAAAGACATTATTCCGTTACATATATCATTTGTGATTTTTTAATGTAGCTAATGTAAAGAAGGTAAAGACATATTGCTAGGTCATAAATTGACAACCCTGATCATTTATGTATGTATGTATGTATACTTAAAATACAAAAATATCAAATTCACACATGATGAACTGGTTAAAATTAGATCAAAATAATCAGTGGCTATAAAACCCCTTACAATGTATATATTTATTTATTATATGTGACATCTAGCAAAGCCGAGATTCATAATCTAATACACTGTATTACCATACAAAACATAAACAAGTGTACAGCCTATTGTGTATATAAATACATGTACAATTAATGGTTGATTTGTGTTAAAATATTATATATATCAATGTAAAATATTATCACAACATTTATATATTATAATGTCATTATTACAACTTTTAACTCTTACACAAACTTAACTTGATTTACTAACATGACTGACTCAAACATTATACCCAATGAAATTGATATATTAATAAGTCATTATTTAATTTGGAACAAAAATCACTATTTTGTATTATTTTTATATACAATAATTATAAATTTCAAACTTTCATTATATATTGCACAAATTTAGTAATCATTTTTGTGTTTCTGACTGTCTGCACATATTTACAAATTACCAGTGTTCTTTGTTATAAATTAAACAATCTATAGGTATAAGGGCATAAAGTACATATAAAATGTTTGGTGAATTTAACAAATTTCTCATGACTGCAGTGAGAAATACATGACATGTATAACAAGTGGATATTTCCTAAAGTGGTGTTGAAGTATTTTGGACAATGATAACTATAATCAATAGTCAGACAACAATTACACCGTACAAAGGTCAAGTATAACATGCCCCCCATTATTACATTACTGGACATTAGACTTACATGTATATAAAACTAAATACAACCTCAAATATATCTCTAGTCATATTTTTATATATGATAAGACAATTATTGAATATTTCATCAACTATAAAACAATATATATTAACAAATTTTTAACCCCCATGAAACACAGCGTGACACTCATATCATTTATATAATTATTTTAATTCATCAGCTTCAAATTAATGTAAGTTCTTTTTTTACATTATTTTATTCGTGCATAAGCATTACATTCTATAATATGTGTTAAAAATTCAAATGAAACAAAGATAGACATTTATCAGCATTTTACAAACATGTGACTAGTATTTTATGTACTCCTGGCTAAATTTCTTAAAAATCATTTCATCATTTTATTGCAGGATGACCATTACTTCATACAATATATAACAGCAAACATTTAACAACAAACATGTTGTACAATTATAAAATCATGGTTTGTATATGGTTGATTACTTAAACTTATACACCTGGTTGTAAAATATGATTGGTGTTAATTGGATATCTTAAAACATTAATTGATAAATGTATAAAACAAATATATTTGATATATTTAAAGTTTTGAGACAGGCTTGAATTAATATACTTGAAAGTAACTGTAATAAAGTGTCTACTTTCAGCATTTATCTTGAAGGAGTTTTAATGTGTATTAACCAAGGAAATTTCGAAGAATTACAGATTTTTTTTCCCCAAATTTACGCAAGTGTTGTCAACGACTTCAACTATTCTTAGTGCTTGATAGTAAAACAAGAGCCGGATAATGAACTTTTTTTTTTTTAAAAAAAGGGCCAGTATTATGTCAAAATCAATGTTAATAGTTATGGGTCTTGGACAGTGACCTCCTATTATGCTCTCAAATAAGTGTGTGAATTTTTAACCCATTCCCTTTATGTTGTTTTTTTACTTGCACGTAAAAACTTAGCCAATGTGTGACACCGACACCAGGGTGGGTACAACAGCTCTCCCTTTTCTTTGAATAGTGTAGCTCAAAATATGGGTGTTTTATATTCATTATACAGAACCTATATATGAAACACAAGAAAAATTAAACAAATTAACTTTTCATTGACCAAAGACAGACATATCTATCTTGTAGGCAAACTGAGATTACTGACAGTTAACGCATGTTGTGTTGATTATATCTCATGGTATTTTCCAAAATGGTCAATGAAATCTTTGGAAGGATCCGATTGAGAATGGTAAAAGATTAAAAATCTATCAACTAACACCGTGTGTTAACATTACACTGGCTTTTATGATAAATGGTAAATGACAAAAATAAAAATATAAAATAACAAAAAGAGCACTGCATGTGGTGTTAACGCCCGATCTATCTATAGACAATTCTGACAAAAATTCAAAGTTAGGTATTACTCCAAAACAAGAGCTTTCAGAATCACAAATGCCCCTTGCCAAATAATTACTAGTCTGATGATGATAACTTTTAAAATGTCCAAATAACAGACTACATTAAAGTTTTTGCACAACGATGACACATCGATCATAATAGCTCAACTTTTTCTTCAAAATAGACAAGCTAATAATATCATAAAGATGATCACAAAGATTTCATCAGAAGTATAGATGATCACAAAGATTTCATCAGAAGTATGGATGATCACAAAGATTTCATCAGAAGTATGGATGATCGCAAAGATTTCATCAGAAGTATAGATGATCACAAAGATTTCATCAGAAGTATGGATGATCACAAAGATTTCATCAGAAGTATAGATGATCACAAAGATTTCATCAGAAGTATGGATGATCGCAAAGATTTCATCAGAAGTATAGATGATCGCAAAGATTTCATCAGAAGTATAGATGATCACAAAGATTTCATCAGAAGTATAGATGATCACAAAGATTTCATCAGAAGTCACAAAGATTTCATCAGAAGTATAGATGATCACAAAGATTTCATCAGAAGTATAGATGATCACAAAGATTTCATCAGAAGTATAGATGATCACAAAGATTTCATCAGAAGTATAGATGATCACAAAGATTTCATCAGAAGTATAGATGATCACAAAGATTTCATCAGAAGTATAGATGATCACAAAGATTTCATCAGAAGTATGGCTATCAAGGATCCAGATACAAGACCGGTAGTTAAAAATGATGACATCATAGCACCAGTACTCTCCGCCTTATCTGCTGATACACGCCTGTAAAATATAAAATTAAATCAAATACTGTAAGATTCATATTGATAATTAACATATGGGTTTATAATTATCCAACATTTATGTCAGAAAAGATGTTCGAGTACCTAACTAATGTAGAGTTTGATTTAAACATTTAAGATGTATGGTTGGTTTTAACACATACAATGTAAGATATGGCTTTTAATTTAACTTAAATTAGTAATATATAGATGTACATGTTAAGTGAAATTTACTGTTTATTACAGTATAACAGTTTGGATTAAGATTCTTAACATCAAAAATAGTGAATGTAAATTTCATACATGGTAGAGAATACCTGAAAACTATGTAATATAAAAACATACATGTCACAGTGAGATTCTGATTACAGATTACAATATTCATCAATTTCAATAACTGAGTTTTAAATCATGACACACTAACAATATCATATAACAACAAGATCTGATTCAATTGATGGAGGAATATCAAAGTTGCCACTATATATGTATATTACTTGATTTTTCCCCTGATAACAAAAAGCATAAAGGCAGAACCAAAACTTCACACAAAACGTCCATCTCTGCTTGAAGCAGAGTGACAGCAGAGTGGAATGACTTTAAATCAGTAATACATTAAAATAACTGTCAGTTGCACATTAGAATATAACAAATCTGATAATCATCAGTAATCAATAATCAGTATGTAAACATTACTTTAAGTTAATACATACCTTGGACCATACATCATTGCTAAAGTCCCAAAGTATCCATTAGTAAGACCCAGTAATAGTATGAACACAACTGGATATATGTCACTGTTGAACCATATATGGCTAGTTCTTGGTTGAACATTACAAAACATCAATAAAGGTATAAAAACAACACGTAACACAGAAAACATCAACAATAAACTTGACTGGCCATACCGTGGCTGAAAAATATAAAAGTGAAGTTTCAATATTAGCTAAAACAATGTTTTCATTAGTCTGTATATAACACTTATTACCTTCAGTTATTTGCACGAGTGGTTTTAATATAAGCAGGAAAGAGATTGTGATTAAAAACAATTTGTTATTAAGATTAATAAATTTAAGCTAAATTCAATAATTTTATTTTGACCATCACAGTCATTGTATGAAGACAATCCAACTATCACTTACAAAGTTACAGCCAATTATAGCAAAATATAAAGTGAAATTACTATAATTTCACAGTCAAGGTCATTTATGAGTCAAGGTCAAATTTGGTTTTTCTTCAAGACATTGTCAAAACGGCAGTTTAATTCAAGTATGAAAACAACGAATCCATAAATAACAAAGTAATTGCCAATTATAGCAAAAATCAAGCAAAATTCAATTTCTTGACCTTTAAGGTCAAGGTCATGTATAAGTAAAGGTTATGACCAATTTCGTCTACTTGAAAGTCTTGTCTAAATAATGGAAAAAGTAAAGCTTTTAAAATGACAACTTTATTAACCTAGTGTATATAAAAATAAAATGACAACTTTATTTACCCAGTGTATATAAGAATAAAATATTAGCTGTATTAACCCAGTGTATATAAAAATAAAACATTAGATGTATTTACCCAGTGTATAGACCCTGCTACTGATCTACCACTCCAATCTCCACAGTTAAACAACAGAAAACATACAAGTGCAGAAAAGTATTTCTCTGAAATATAAAATTAATAAATCATAATGTTCGTCTTGATCTTTCACTACATTCAGGTCAGATTCTGACATTAATCTAACATAACATGGAAAATCTATTTTATGTACAAAGCACTACATTAACTTACATAAAAAAATGTTCATACATTTAATGTATACACTTTAAAACAAGAGAACAAGGTGTGTTATTACACTAAAGAGATTGTTAAATAATTCCCCATGTCCTGTAAAACATATAAAACAATCACTATAAACTATCACATAGCTTTCCTCTTGTAAAATGGTAGCATTACTGATTTATCTTATAATAACAATAGTAGAAAGAAGAAATACTTTTTGTTTTTAAGCATCATACTATTCTAAAACATGAGCCAGTTGACCACTTGTCACCTATTATAAGAATTTTTCACTGGCTGCAATCTGCAGGCACAGACTGGAATATCAAACCTCAGTGTAACTATTCCAGGCATTAACAAATGCCTGTCAAGTTTACCCAATAACTAGATACAGCCATTTGTATTCGCAGCCAGTGTTTTCTTTTTCTTGAATCATAATGTTCTACTCTCTCCCCCCACCCCCCCAAAAAACCCATATTGTTGGAATGAAAATAATAAATACAACCACTGACACTTGTGACAGAGAATCAAAATGTTGGCTCAATAGTCAAAAGCATTTTGACTGATCCTGTTTGCATGCTACAAGGTTCAAGTTCAAGTCCTACACACATCAGGATGATGTATTTATATGTTTGATGTAAGACTTGATATATATGTAAGATATATTATACCTGACCAGGGTGTTGGTATCTTCACAACTGACACTATAGATGATGCTATAGCAGGGAAACATGATAATGTTACTAAAAACACTAAACAAACACTAATTCCTTCCTTCCATATCTGAAATAAAACACAACATATATAACACTAGATTCTAAATATAAACATCATACAATAGCTGTTCAAAATTAGCCCCCAAAAACGTAGGATATTATAATTGATATTTTAATCCTGAACAATAATACAAGTGTAAAATATAGAATAACCTCATTTTAATTTTCAAACAGTAATATTAATTTAAACTGCCTAAGAAAATTATAACAAAAGCTGTCTGTAAGACAGAAACTCTACTATTCTAAGTGCTTGACAGTAAGGAAAGGGACAGAACACTATAAAACAAACTCAGAGTTATGGGACCTGTGCCCATCATGTTAGATAACCACAGAAAACAAGTTTGTATAGTTTCAACCCATTGTCTTCAGTAGTTCTGAAGATAACCAACATGCACACAAAAACTTAACAAAAGTGTGACTGTGACACAGACATCAGCGCCAACATGACTGCTATAACTTTCCCTATCCTTCAAATAGTTAAGCTAAAAATGAAATGTTTTAATGCACCTTATTAAGACTGTATATATTTATACAAACCTTTCTAAATATATGACTATAATAAGAACATCCATGATCTGGTACAACAAAACCTATATCATCACCATGAGAATTGACATCTACTGATATTGTGTTACCTGTTGTTATAAAAAACATCTTAATTATCATCTGAATATTTCTAATTTCCAACCCACTAAATTTGTAATATAGACTTGCCCCTGTCTTACATTTGAACAAAGCAAGACTTGCTACCAAACAAACATATCGAATAATTTGGATGTAACTTTGACCTTAATTGACCTTGACCGTTGAGGTCAAATTATTGAAATTCTCTTATTTTTTCCTATAGCGATAAGATTTGGACCATGTGCATGCAAAATTAAATCTTTATCAGCTGACCTAGATTTTGACAAAGTGACCTACTTTCTTGTCCTTTGATGTACAGCTATGAAATTTAGACCATGTGCACAGATTTATATGTAAAATTAACTTTGATATCATTCATTCTTCGAAATATCAGTAAAATTTGACAATATTCCATTAATGAGAATTACAATTAAGATACTTCTTTATAAATAGATTGGACTTACCGATTTCTAAAATATGATACTTGGAATAACTCTGAAATAAAAATGTGCAGATTGCTGATTGTCTTTTCATTCATTATTTTAATATAGAGAGTAACATCTGGTATTGTTTACTTAGAAGGATTTTTCATTTATATCTTCACACTTTTTTTTGAATAAAGAAACAGTCTGATTATATTAATAAATAATAATAATATAAGACGATAACTATAGTAAATATTGCTTGATGTGTCTTGAAAGTATGGCATAAATACTAAAACCTAACAAAATTACCAATCCTAACATGAAAACTAGGAAAGGTCAACTTACTAAACAATAGAGACACCCGTATCCCACCAGTGTTAACACGGCCATAAATACAGCAAACATGAAGAACACAAGTCCACTGTCTATAACATGTGAGCCGATGGCAAGTGTGACTAGATTAGCTACAGCAGCAAATATTCCACCCATAGCTTGACCGGTCATTGTAGCCTGTACATATTGTGATGGGAACAAACTGGCTAGACCAAACAATGACGCTCCTAATATAGATCCACCGGCTACAAATAATTATACAATATTATATGTTTATATCATTTCTATAACTGTTATCATTTCATTAGGTAAAACAGAAAATAGTCTCGTACGTTAGTAAAATTGGTATTATATCGTCAGGTGACCTGTTTTTACACTGCCCTATGGTCACTCTAGGACAGAACAAGAAGTTAAACATTGGCTTTTGACAAACTCACTTCACCATTTCTATTTCTCTCTCCTCGTGATGTAAATAAAAAATTGCCAACTTAAACACATAAATAACCTTGCATTAGATATTTACAAATAATGAAATAATTGATAGATGTGATGGTAAACCTCAATATATATACTATTTCTCTCGAATGGATAGACTATTTCTATGGGAAGTGGATATTGTATCATATTTATTTCAAAGCAACAACTGGTGTTAAATATGTAAGGTTGAGGCTGGGTGAATAATTTTCTGCTGTAGGACTGAACATTTTATTTAAGAATGAAGTGTCAGGGTCTTTCTAGGTGCAATAATATAACAGGATACAAAACAATACCATCATCAAGGATTCTATTCTCCTGTTTCCACTGAAAGACAACACATTACATCATAAAACAGTTACTTTTCTTACAAATTCATTTACCACTTCATAACTATTTTCTTTTCTCATGCTTCCATTGTTATTGTAAGTGACTCAAAAATCAAAATACAGAAATTGACAAGCAAACGTTCTCGTCTGTTCAGACCTGACTATTTCTATATACTACAGACCAAGTCTGTCCTGACTGTTGACATGTGTACTAATTTATTTTTTTCCTTCAGATAATCAATGTCACATGCTTAATTGTTAATAAGAATACATAGAAAATGTTTCACCTACAATGTAAGATATATGCCATATAAAATACTTACAACTAATTAGAACAGCTGTTACTAAGGTAATGGAAAAGAAAGTGGTCTGCCCTGAAATAAACAAATCAAAACTGTTTTTTTTTTCAATTTATTTTTCTTTATTTCCAAAAACTCTCTTAACATTTCCTTCATAATGAAATTTGCTATAATTGTACGCATTCAAAAGCATAAAGCACAATGTCTTTGTTAAACACTTACTCTGGTAAAATTGTATAATAACTTACCTTGCTTAAATATGTTTATTGTTAAAATAAGGGATTTTAATGTCAAAATGTTGCTTAAATATGTTTATTATTAAAATCAAGGATTTAAATGTCAAAATGCTGTAACAGAAATGTGGCCACCTATATAGAGGTAGACCATTAGTATTGAACCGGGCTACCAATTTATTCTTCTAATGTATGTTTAATAATGCTTATATTTCATAATATTATAGATTTTCCCCTAACAATTTGAAGTGGTGATTAAAACTTGAAATATAATTTTTGAAGTGTTTAAACTACATTTTTTTATGATTTGTGTAAACATAGGAAGATTTATACTTACATGTATCTGTATCCATCTCTACCAGACTAACTGTGACCATAAACATGAGTATTATCAGTACCAAAGAAAATATCATCCTTGTTTTCAAACATACCCTATAAACATACAAGTTAGTAATATCACATCAAATGTGCAGGAGTCATAGTTTATTGTAAGATGCAAACATTTTAACTTAATCTATATGAAGTTAATTTTGTTTAACTCTTTTGTCCATTATGAAATGTCAAAATCAAAATGCCTAAAAAAAGAGCATCAACTGCTGTGTTGAAAATGTTTCAGTGCTGTAAGTGCTGTTACAGCATACATATATACAAATCATGATTGGTTCTAGATGAAAAATGCTTTAATAATGCAAAACATGATACACTCTGTATAATAAGTGCTGTTATAAAACAAAACATGATTTATTCTGTACGCTAAATATTCTTATAAAATAAATCACTGATTACCTCTGTATGATAAGTGCTGTTATAAAGTTAAATGCTAGATTAGGTACGGTATTAGCCACGACAAGGTAGCTCTCAAACATTGCCTGTAATTCTGTCTCAAAGTTCGGATCTAGATATTCATCATCCAGCTGTGTAGTGTTACGTAACTTGTACTTGAAATACTGAAACATCGTTATATTGTTTATACGTCAATAAAGTTTTCATGTCAAACATTAGAAAAATATAACTAGACATCATTCTATTATAACTTTATATTATCTCTCATGAAAAGACTTTAATTAAAATAACGAGTTGGCAATTTTCACTTTTACACTTTTATTTCATTGCACTAGAGGGATCTCCTCTTTTCAAGAATTTTACACTCTTAATATCAAATGTCAAGTGCTGTATGATAGCTGTTTAAAGATGCCCAGTACTTCACTTTAGAGATCATTGTATCCAATACTTGTATAGAAGGTTGAATATTGCTTAAGCATGTAGTAGGGGGCTTAGAGAAGTTCCACTTATCTAATACTTTTCATGAACAGATTCAATCAAACTTCAATCAAACAAAGTCTGCAATGTTCACTTCTACACTTTACTTTCATTACTTTTGAAGAAGCTCCCTTTTTCCAGATTTGTTTAATATGTTACCTTGGTTGCAAGAATTACAAGGGTTATTCATAAAGCCTGTGGAATGTTGTTTTCACTTCAAATCTGATCATCAGAATGTACATACAAGATGCATGTTTGTCACAAAATTCTTATAATTTAATATAAATCAGTTTTACTAAAATTATTTCGCAATATTTTTCAGAATATTTCATTTCATGTTAAAAATAACACAGTAAAAGTAATTATTTTACATTTTATCAAAATATTGATTTAAATTACTAAAAAATGAATTAAATAAATAATGGCTGACTATATTTCTGATTACAATAATGTCATAAATAAAGAGCAGTAGAAAAACCAAAACCTTGTTAAACAATATAACAGTTAACACATCCCTACCTCACTAGCTGTTATAAAAAAATTCCATGGCGCCAAAGATCCTAGACCTAGCAGATAAAATATCAGGTACACCATATGAAATCTGAAAATACATATAAACATTGAAAACCTTTCTAAATACATAACCCTTTACTTAAGATTTTACTTCAGAACTATTATGTATCATTATCATACAATTTAAATTATGGAACAGAACATCTTCTGCATAAAAACATGTCTGTCTAAATTAAAAGTTAGCGCAATTAAAATTATGTTTCTTTTTTACCACACTTACTTATTTGGTTCTTAAATTCCCAAGATATCATGAAATAAAACCAAAAAAATCCAAATTAATTCAAGTTTTGGTTTATTAAACAAAAAATGTATTGCAGTGTGTTCCTCTCAAATTAGTAATTTTAGTTAAAAAATAAATTTTGAAATATTTTACAAGAACTTTTTTTTATATCAAAATGTAACACCATGTTTATAAATTACCTGTCTCTAGGTATAGGTCCATGGACCTGGGGCAGGAGGGGATCCTCTGATGTATCCATCTTCACTTTAATCTAACAACTCTGCTACCAATTAGTCTTATATTGCCATACCACTCATTCCTTGATTGATAAAATCAAATGTTTATTGTATCAATTTGAAAATTGAACAGTTAATCTTAATTGTGTTTATTAATCAAATGTTTTTCTTCAAAATCCATTAATATATTTTGTGATTAATTTGTATCTCTTAACTTTGTCAATGTAATGTACATGTATATCAAAAGATACAATAAGAGATTAAGTGGTCATGAAATGTCAATGACATAAACATTTTTTATATGATAAATATTCTAGAGTAAGTCTAGACATTTAACAGCATAAACATTTCATATATAGAGGATAATCCGATATTAAATGAGAGTACATATTTCATACGGAATTCATTGAGCAAGTTGAATAAAATTATATTATCCATATCATTTAATTGAACAAGTTCAATAACTACATGTACTCAAATAGAATATTCTATGTATCAGATATCTAAAGAAGAACTATTTACAGTGAAAATAATTATTTTTATTATTGAGGCTATCCTTAAACAAGAGCGATCAGTAATCACATGTGTCGCCTCATGATGGCCAATTTCATGTTGGGACAAATTTTGTGACAGACGGACAGTGCACAACTAGACTTGGTACTGATCATTCCTGTAAAGTTTGGATAAAATTGCACCAGTAGTTTATGAGGAGTAGTCCGGACAAGCTTTTGTGTATCTGGCAACACACAGAAAAAACACCTTTTTATCAAAGGGCCATAACTCGGCCAAAAATCATTCAACCAGAAAACCCGTGCAATATGCGCAAGGACTTGAGCTACAGATCAATCCTGTAAAGTTTCATTGAAATTGCATTAGTGGTATAAGAGAAGTAGTCCGGACAAACTTTAAAAATAAAAATTATTAAAGGGCCATAACTTTGACAAAAATCATTCAACCGGAAAATGCTGACAATATGCACAACTAGACTTGGTACTGATCATTCCTGTAAAGTTTGGATGAAATTGCACCAGTAGTTTATAAGGAGTAGTCCGGACAAGCTTTTGTGTATCTGGCAACACCCAGAAAAAAACACCTTTTTATCAAAGGGCCATAACTCGGCCAAAAATCATTCAACCGGAAAATCCGTGCAACATGCCCAAGGACTTGAGCTACAGATGAATCCTGTAAAGTTTCATTGAAATTGCATTAGTGGTATAAGAGAAGTAGTCCGGACAAACTTTAAAATTAAAAATTATTAAAGGGCCATAACTCTGACAAAAATCATTGAACCGGAAAATGCTGACAATATGCACAACTAGACTTGGTACTGATCATTCCTGTAAAGTTTGGATGAAATTGCACCAGTAGTTTATGAGGAGTAGTCCGGACAAGTTTTGTGACGGACGGACGGACGTTCTCACAGGACAGTAATTATGTTGCTACTCTATTGTTCTCTCTATTGTTCTTTTTAGCCACGCAAAAGAAAATAGCCACATAAAAGCATTACGGAATGAATGACATCAAAGAGAAAGAACAGTTACCTATTGTCCCTCTAGCCACATAATTACTCTCCTGTGAGTGCGGACAGACGGACGGACGGACAGACAGACGACGGAGAAGTGATCCCTAAATTTCGCCACTAAAAATTTTCGTTTGTAGTAACGCGACCGACTCACAAAATTTGCCCCTACTCAAATTTTTTTTCATTGTCTGGATAAAAAATTTATTTTTTTTAATCAGAAAATAATGCCTTGTGCTTTGTTTTTGTTCTTTTAAAGGTTAATGGAAGAAATAAAATGTAGGTCTTATTAAATTAGAATTCAGTTATCAATTTAATAATTGTTACCAGATTATCAAAGCATATATTGTCCAGCATTTTGAAATTCCATGTTTATTTGGGAGTATAGTTCAATAAAAAAAAAAAAAAACGACCTACCTACCCACCTTGGAAATTCTGGGTCGGGCTTCTGCAAACAAACATTTTTTTTAAGGATGGCCTGATGCACATAAAGTGTTCACTTAACATTTAACACTTCTTTACGCTAATGTTTGTATAATGCAAATTTGTGTACAGTCATGCAAGAGTGAATACAATTTTTTTACAGAGTGTTATATAAACATGAAAAAAGGGAAATAATTCTCACAAAAAGTGACAGTTATCTTTTTTTTTTCGTTTATGTTATATATATTATGCTTAATAAACAAAGTTTAAAAAAAATCTCATTACTATTTTTTTAGAAATATAATTTTTTTTATGTCATAAGCCCCACTTAATTTCTGTTTGGGAATACAGTACAGCTCAGTGATTTTATGCACTTTCTGCTTTGTCACAGCGGACACTTTTAATGGTAAGTGGAAAATCGCGGGGCGCATACTATTGTCAGTCACAATAATTTTTTTTTTACTTTTGAGCAATAATTAAGCATGTGTAAGCCTTTCTTGACAGTTTTTTTCCTGATATGTAAAAAAGGGTGGAAGTCAAATGAGTGTCGGCACTTCTTTGATGATTCGACAGGTGTATTAACATCAAAGATTGACAGATTCTTTTAAAAGAGCCAACTTAAGTCATAAATTTTTGTAAGAGGTCATCTCGTGTGTAAAATTTGTGTATATTAAAATTATTATAGTGTTGGGTATTGGACTCAAAAATCACTATGGATAATTGGACCACCACAATTGATTGTCTGCCCATAGTATAATCAAGTTTTGTAGTTTATATGGTCATTTTTTTCTTTTAAGGTTCCAATCCTTGGTTACAGTAGTGACCACATTTTGAGAATTCTCTAAGATAAAAGTAAGATTTATACTCTTCTGAATTCATAACAGACAACACAAACATTTATAACATATACATGTGAACTCTCCCATATTTAGCGGGAGACTCCCACTTTCTGCACCAAAATTTTGAAAGATTTTTCTTAAAATAAGGGCTATTTTCACTAATTAAAGAAATCTCCCTATTTTTGCTGTCAGAACTTTCTTCTTTGTTTTTTTGCAAATTCTAAAATCTCCCTTTTTTTTTAAGAAAAAACCTTCCACTTGATCATCGAAAAAAGTTAATTTTTTTAACTGAATTTCTTTTTTGTCCATTATGAAACGTCAAAATCAAAATGCCTAAAAGAAGTAAACCAAATGATGTGTTGACACTGGTCTGAGACTGAAGAAAATTTTTCAGTGCGAATAATTTTAAGTACGAATCGCTCTTAAATCCTATACCAGCAGATTTGAATTGTATGATCCAAAGTATTTCATTAAAAGGAACATTTTGTAAAATAAATACCTGATTGTCTTTTATTGAAATGATGATGAGTAATAAATTTGTGACTTTCAAAAATGTACATAAATCCTCAAAACACAGGAAACGGAACTTGACATTTAATTGCGCATGCGCAAATTGACCCACGTGGGAAATGGACACCACACCGATTGAGTTCTCCCCAAAAGGCGAATTTGCTGTGCATTCAAGTCATGACGGTGTTATAAAAGTTTGGGAAATAGCAACTAACAGTTTGAAGAATGAATATAAACCTAGTTCACATCTTTCCGCTACTTGCACGTGCCTGTCATGGTGTCCAAGATCAAGAGAGGTAAGTTTTTTTTGAAAATAAATTTTTGTTAGCCTTCAATTCTCAATTTATACAATTGGTTAATCATGTCATTCAATTTTATACCAACAGGAATATCTGCGCACTAATTAAGGTATTGTATCAACTTACAATATTGATTTTGTTCCATTTTTTAATAAACAGAAATTTGGCCATGTGGCACTGGAAAAATATTCACTTGAAAAGTTTGGCCAGAGTCTACAAGCAGTAATATGAAAGAAGGCAAAGTCTATAAATGGGGAAGTTAGATATAAAAATAAATTCCATTCATTTTTTATAATTTACATTTTTCATTTATATTAAATGAGTCATAAATTTGGTATTTCATGCACAGCTTTTTCAATCGGAACACCTCGACAGCAAAGGCATGAGTATCGGACCTGGGAAGAAAATATGAATTACGGACACTTCGGACCACAGACGTTTCGGACCAGACACTTCGGACCAGATTTTTGGTCATTTCGGACCAGATTTTGGGACATTTCGGACCATGTGATGGTCATTTCGGACCATGATGGAGACACTTCGGACCAGCACATATATTCCTTTTTATATGTAATTATTTGTTATTTCAGGATGTATTTAATATATTTTCTAATAATAAATGCAACAAATATTTGACACTGTTATATTTTATGATATTCAAAATGCATGCAGTAATGACCTGTCCGACGAGATTTTCACATTGTCTGACAAGCTTATTTCACCAATTGACAAATTTTTTTAATATTGAATTAAAAAAAAACAATAATAGAATACCTTTAGAACTATATTGGTAAGCATAGGATATATTTCTGCGAATGTCCTCCATACAAAATATAGAGATAATGATACGCTATGTTTAATTTATCTAAAAGAATTGAAATTGATATACGTACCTTTTTAATGAACTATTTGATAATATGTACAATAAGTACACACGCAGAATATATCTATTTAAAGTCAATTTTAACCAAATTAAATCGTGTTCTAGCAAGTATTAAAGAACAACGACATCCTTGTCAATGCAGTTTTTCACACATTTTAATTGCTGAATAGAACTCGTTTAAGTTACGTTTCATTCAATTAAAGAAGCATATGTATGCAATTTTCACCTAATTTGACAACACATGGTCCGAAATGTCCAAAACAATGGTCCGAAGTGTCTATCACATGATCCGAAATGTCCAACACATGGTCCGAAATGTCCAAAAATCTGGTCCGAAATGTCCCTAAATATGGTCCGAAGTGTCCCAAAATCTGGTCCGAAACGTCCATGGTCCGAAATGTCCTATTACCGAAAATATGACCACATTGATAAAAAACCTCTGTGTTCGTCTTAAGTGTCAGAAACCAAAAAAAAAATTTTTTTCCCCCTTAAAAATATACTATACTGTAAGTGGTTTGCCTAAAAATACGAAGGTGAGATTTTTGACGAAAGTGAGCGAAAGTGACTTTTAGAACAGCGATTTTTTTCCCTGAATTGTGAATGGGTCGGGTACCATAAAGATTGTGAAAAATAGCGTTGTTTCTTAAGAAATTGTGAATTTTTTAATTAAGATTGTTAATATCTTATTAAGCAGTAACAACATATAATTTTTTTAACGTAATATTTAACTGTTACGAGACATTTTGAATGATGTTTACATAAATTACCAGACACTTGTTTCAGTATTGATTCGTCCCTAGAAGTTTCATATTTAAACAGTACGAAAATTTAGGGGCGAATGCACCGGAAATCATGGTTGGCTAAACGCATTTTAAGATAAACAAAGCACAACAGGCAAAATTTTAGCATCATTATGAGAAGAGAGGAAAAAATAACGTTATTAAAGGCTTAATTAATCAGAATTGTGAAATTTCATCAGAAATTGTGAACGGCTCTGTCGGACCCAGTCTGAAAATTGTGAAGGTCCGTTTGTGATTGTGAATGGGTCCGTTATTCGGTATCACTTATATAGGGAAAAAAATCGCTGTAGAATTTGAATTGTACCATTTAATAGAATTTTACAGTAAAATTGCCGTTTGTAGACGTAATGAATTATCAAAAATACTGAAAACTAATTATGATCAGATTTTTGTCATTATTATCCCACACCGAAAGGTGGCGGGGGATACATAAATAGTCTCCTTCCGTCCGTCCATCCGTCCGACATTTTTGTCCGGAGCATATCTCAAAAAGTATTTGAGGTATCAACTTGAAACTTCATAGGTGGATAGACCTCATTGAGGAGGAGTGCAGTGCACAAGAATAATAACTCTTCCTTTCATAATTTTTGAGTTATTGCCCTTTGTTATTTTTCAAAATTAATTTTTGTCCAGAACATAACTCAAAAAGCCTTTGCGATATCAACTTGAAACTTCATAGTTGGATAGATCTCACTCAGGAGGTGTGCAGTGCACAAGAATAATAACTCTTCCTTTCATAATTTTTGAGTTATTGCCCTTTGTTATTTTTATGCCCCCGCCATGTAATGGCCTGGGCATATAGTGTTACCCTGTTGAGTTCCGTCATTCTGTCATTCTGTCATCATCAGTTTCCGTTCATTATCTTAAGAACAGTGGCACACATTCAACTCAAATTTGACATATCGATATGTCATGAGAAAATACAGGTCAAGTTTGAATTGGTCATGGTTCGATGATTTTTCGCAGAGTTATGCCCCTTTTACTTTGAAAATAATATGAAATTTCAGTTTCCGTTCATTATCTCCCCAAAGGTACAACACATTCAACTCAAACTTGACATATGGATGCACCAAAGGAATGCGCAGGTCAAGTTTAAATTTGGTCATGGTTCAATGATTTTTGGCAGTTATGCCCCTTTTACTTTGAAAGTAATATATAATTTTCAGTTTCCGTTTATTATCTCCCCAATGGTACTGCACATTTAACTCAAATTTGACATATGGATATGTTTTTGAAATGCCCAGGCCAAGTTCGAATTTGGTCATGGTTCAATGATTTTTGGCAGAGTAATGCCCCTTTCACTTTGAAAATAATATGAAATTTACAGTTTCTGTTCATTATCTACCCAACAGTGTTACATATTCAACTTAAATTTGACATATGGATATATCAAAGGAATGGGCAGGTCAAGTTGGAATTTGGTCATGGTTTGATGATTTTTTGGCAGAGTTATGTCCCTTTCACTTTGAAAATAATATAGATACATCTTAGGAATAAGCAGTTTAAGTTTGAATTTGGTCGTGGTTCAATGATTTTAGACTAACTTATCTTTCCTGAATGCTGGAAAAATTTTGAACTTTCAGTTTCAGCACTCATACATTGTACTTTTAGCCATTATTTTGGCTACAAATATGCAATATGCTATTTTTAAAAGGTTAAGACTGAATAATTTCAGTGCCTTGAACATTGTATGAAAATGGTTTGTGTTAACATTGAAAAGTTTTAAGGGCTTTGAACTTAAAATGAAAAAAATAATTAATGCACCATCTGAGATTTTGGCTGCATGCGGGGGCATCCGTGGCATGATGACACATTTCTAGTTCATACATAATTTTTCACCTGAGTGGAGCATAACTCAAAAAGTGTTTGAGATGTCAACATGAAATGTCATATGTGGATAGATCTTATTGAGGAGGAATGCTGTGCGAAAGAATGATGACTCTTCCCAGTGTCTATTCTAGGTGGGGGGGATTGGGGGATTCACTCATATTTTTGAGAATTCCCCCTATTTTTTCAGAGGCAGGGGGAATATTTTACATAGAGAAAGAAGGAAAAAATCAACAAATGTAATAAATTCTCAGTTTTCCACAAAAATCCCCCCTGTTTTTCAAATCCTAGAATAGACACTGCTCTTCCCCATTTATTTTTTGAGTTATTGCCCTTTGTTCTTTTTCATACTATTTTGTCCGGAGCTTATCTCAAAAAGTGTTTGAGGTATCAACTTGAAACTTCATAGGTGGATAGACCTCATTGAGGAGGAGGGCAGTGCACAAGATTGATAACTCAACCCTGCATAATTTTTGAGTTATTGCCCTTTGTTATTTTTCATACATAATTTTTCACCTGAGTGGAGCATAACTCAAAAAGTGTTTGAGATGTCAACATGAAATGTCATAGGTGGATAGATCTTATTGAAGAGGAATGCTGTGCGCAAGAATGATAACTCTTCCCTTTATAATTTTTGAGTTATTGCCCTTTGTTCTTTTTCATACTATTTTGTCCGGAGCTTATCTCAAAAAGTGTGCGAGGCATCAACTTGAAACTTCATAGATGGATGGATCTCATTGAGGAGGAGTGCAGTGCACAAGAATGATAACTCTACCCTGCATAATGTTTGAGTTATTGCCCTTTGTTATTTTTCAAAATTAATTTTTGTTCAGAGCATAACTCAAAAAGCCTGTGAGATACCAACATAAAACTTCATACTTTGATAGATCTCACTCAGGAGGTATGCAGTGCACAAGAATGACAACTCTACCTTTCATAATTTTGAGTTATTGCCCTTTGTTATTTTCAGCCATCAGTATTCACATAGGTTTCAAATCTTTAATCACTTGTTTCAAATCTTTAATCACTTCAGCCATCAGTTTTCATTATCAAAAGACCTCTTAAAATTGAATTATTCTGCTTTACTACATATACATTATTCAAATGAGCAAACACATTTGGTGTGGGATGGCCATGTTGACATGGCTCTTGTTTGTTTAAGTAAAATCAGGGTGTTTCAAATTCTATTTTGAAAGACACTGGTAATATTCATGGAGGCAAAATTTTCTCAACACATTGTTTAATCATTTCTGCAGCCGTTACAAAGGTGTGCCATATGAAATCACATGTTGCACTGATGTTAATATTGCTCGTGCATTTATTCCTAATTTCTCAACATCTATTGCATCTTCATCATTCCATGAATCGTGGAATTCCAGTACTTAACATTTAGTCAATTGATTTGCAAGTTGGTAGTCTGGTAGAAAGTTTCTGAAAACTTGGATTTCTGATTGTGTTTGGTTACTTAAATTTTTTTTCATAATTATATTATTTTGTATGAAATCGGTTTCTGAATTTTATTTCAGAACAAGCAAAAGAAGAAAAGGCAGAGAGTTTCAAAAACTCATCTCACTAGTGCTATACAGGAACTTGAGTTGGTTGCTATAGGAACAGCCTCTGGTTCTATTCTGTTATATAGTGTGATAAAAGGAGATCTACATAGTCAATTGGTAAGGGAAGTCTTTACTACATATCATTCTCTCTGGAAACTAAATTTGAAATTTTGATTAGAATATTACTAATAATTAATAGTATAATGTTTGTTTTCCTAATTTACTTAATATACTTTTTAGTTTCTTGGGAAAAAACAGAGGTCAAGACTTTAATCATAAAAAAATTGCAACATGAAGTCTTAGTTTTTCTAAGCTACATTGTAGTATAATTTTAATGTATTTGAAATGGTATATTTTTCATTTCAGGTAGAGGGTCATTCTGACAGAGTAAACAATGTTGTTTGGTACCCAGAATCTGATGCTTTATATAGTTGTTCCAGTGATCAACATATAATAGAATGGGAAATCACATCTTTAAAAATTAAACAGTGAGTGAAAGCTGTCTTAATCCCACATTAAACAGATATAAATATAAGATGCTTTAATGGCTAGGTCACTGATTTTAGATAATTATTCACTGAATTGGTGGAAATTTTTTTACTTACCAAATCAGCAATTTTAGTGATAATTTTTCCCAATATCAAGAGGCTAAGGCCTCTTCCCAATTAAGTGACAAAACTCGCTAGTATTTCCTTTTCAACAATGTTGATCTTTGCCTATTATACTGAAGGAATGTAGATAGACCTTTTGTATATTCCTATCATTATGTAGTTGTTTTAAGAGAAGTTATAAAAATTAAATGAAAAATGAGATCAAGTCTTTGCATGCAGTCTTTATTATGGTTTATTTTTAGAGATTTGTAAGTTTCATATATACAAAAACTGAAATAAACCCTTAAAAAGAGCTTTCCACATCTGTTTGATAAATATTTGAAAACAATTTGCTAGTGCACACTGAGATCTCTTTAACAAGTAATATAAAAATGTGAATTTCTGGCTGTGTAGTAACTAGATACTAGTCGGCATAGAATATGATGATCAGAAGAGATGTTGATTAGATTTAAATTTGTATTTCAGCAAATGGAAAGGTGATAAAGGACCAGTGTATAGTTTATGTAAATGTTCTAATGAACATCTATTGTCTGCTGGTAGATCTATCAAATTGTGGGATCTTAAAACTAAACAAGAATTAAAAGTAAGTACAGAAATAATTCAAATTATGCACAGTAGAGAATTTTAAAACAGTATTATTTATATTGTAAGGACCTTGAAGCTGACATGAAGATCTGTAAATCTGTGATACCTTTACGTTGAATGTTTATACATACATAAAAAATCTTAGACTATAAATTTAGGTAGAAGTGACATCCCGTGTAGAAAAATGAGAAGTTTTGAAAATTAGAAAGAAGTGATGATATCCTGCAACAGCATATTATATTTACACATTGATTGAGCTATTTTAGAGTTTATTTCACAAAAAAAGATATTTTGACAATATTTAACATGTATGACGTATACCAACATAACATTTGGCTTATGAAATAACGCAAGGGCTCTTATTATTGGCCTCAAACTGCAGTCGCTGATGAATTCATTTGTATTTCAGAGGTTTACTGGTCATGCTACAGAAGTGTTCAAGTTATTACATGTTCCTACAAGTCCAGATTCATTAGAAAATTCTTACTTTCTATCTGCTGCAGCAAATGATAGATTAGTGAATGCATGGTAAGTTTATTTGAGCCGCGTCACGACAAAACCAACATAATGGGTTTGCGACCAGCATGGATCCAGACCAGCCTGCGCATCCGCGCAGTCTGATCAGGATCCATGCTGTTCGCTTACAAACTCCATAACAAGTACAGAAATTGATAGCGAACAGCATGGATCCTGATCAGCGCGGATGCGCAGGCTGGTCTGGATCCATGCTGGTCGCAAACCCAATATGTTGGTTTTGTCGTGACACGGCTATTTATTCATTGGTTCCTATATAGCTTGAATCAAAACAAACATTAATATCAGTAATTTGAAAGATATGAAATTTGAATTATTTTGTCAGTGATTTTCAAAAAACACAATATCTGCAGCATTTTGAGTAATATCATGATTGCTCAGGCATATTTCCCATAGCACTGGATCTTTTATGTTGCCCATTATTATTTGATTATCTGAATTACTGCTTATAGTACTTTCCATAGTAAAAATCCCAAATAACACAATTTGTTAAGTAACAATTGATGTAAATTATTTCAATGAATGAGAATCAAAATGATTAATTATATGTATCATTGCAAACTGTTTGTATGTTATTGTAGGCAGATTAACACATCATCTACTGATAAAAATGCATTGGCAGCTTTTTCAATGCCTGATGAACCTGTAGACATGATGATCTCCTCACATTCTAAGGTTGGTCTTCTGTTCTATTGTATTTTGAGTTAGTAGACTTGTTTTGCACCACAAATGCTAAAGTATCAAAATGATTATAATCTGCACATTTAGCTGAGTAGGGAGAAAACAGCTGATTTATATCCATATTTTAATGTAAGAATTAATAAGATAAAGTTTTTCCCTATTGCTTTAAAAGAGGAAAAATTCCATTTACTTGCTCAAAACCAGATAAATACTGGTAGAAAAAGTCACTGTCCTTGTTGGCTTTGTTTTCTGTTATATGAATGTTATTTGTAAATATATAGCTAATTATTAATAAAAACATTTTTAAGGTAACACATTTGAAGTAGGATTATGGCATTGTACAGATTGTAACGATTATTTGTGTATAAAAACTTTTGGTGTTAATGATACATATATTATACAGTATAAAACATTCCAAAAGAAATGTGTATGTTTTTTGTTTTCCAGCCTCTTGTTCTGGTAGTAGTTACTGAATGTGGAAAAGCCTTACTGTATGAGCATAAGTTAAATGGGTAAGTAAATGTGGAACTAGATAATGAGTGATCATAGTTTTAACTTACAGACATTTTGTTGAAGAGAGAGCTGTATTAAATTACCACTATTACACTGTATTATCAGCATTATAGAAACTTAGAAAGTGAGATCAGCAAAAGAAAAAAATCGGGGTTTTAATGTATAATTGTCCTAAATTTTACTCTACTAGTGTGACACTTAACTTTCCTATAGCATGATGATCTTTAAAACTTATTTTATAATGTTTAGAAGTATAGAGATAATAGTTTAGTATTAGAAGTATAAAAATAATATTGTCAGAGAAGAAATCCTGGTTCTTACCACTCAATAGATAAAAACTGTCTATATGAGCTTTAGCACCAGGGACATGAATTGTCTCCCTGTAATGTATTGTAAGGTATACAGAGTTAGGGGCTGTTACCTACATATATAGGGATGACATCATGTGACATTCTGCACTTATGTTTACTTTAACTGCAGTAGTTTTCTGTACAGGCTTGTAAATTGTTCAGCTGAATGTTTAATTATTTAGCTGTAACTCCCTGATTGTTTGTGTAATCTTTACATCAGGCTGTTTTAAAGCATTGTGAATCCATCATATTCCTCACATAAACTGGTGAAAATCAAGACAGGACAAGTCAATACAAATAAGACAGTACAGTCTCAAACGTACAAAAAGACTGGTAGGGGGACATCATGAAGTTGAAATCGGGAATTCATGAAGTTAAATTCAGGAATTCCACATGTTGTAAATGTGAATTCACAAAGTTAAAAGTGTGAAATCAGTAATTCATGAAGTTAAAATGGCCCTACCGGTTTTTCGTACTAACCTGACAGTAATAATTATGCTGTGCTACCAATTTTTCCCCATACACAAGTGCATTTGAGGTTTTGAATATTTCCCAATTTTGTTATGTAGATCAGGAATCGTTCTTCAAGGAGTGCTATGTGTGTTGATTACATCAACATTTGTTAATGATATTGTATGCTTGTATACATGTCAGCTTTGTTTCTTGTTATCTCTGTGGCTTTTCTATGTTACCTGAATACGATATTTTGATAGACCTTTATGTCTTTCCGTAAATGTAGAATTCAGGGACATGAAAATCCGACCTAGAGTATACAGTCACTGCTAAAGTTAAGGAACAGTGATACAGTCTATGGTCGGGACATGCTATGTTTGCATGTGCTCACCTGACAACAGTTTGATCTTAATTTGTCTTGCATGAGAGCAGCATGCCTCCAGATTCATGCTAGTTTTCATGAAAATGTTTGTTAAATTAAAATATTGAGAAGTGAAAAAAGAAAATAACTTAAACTTTTCAAATGGCATTTACAATCAACATAAATTACCAAAAAGAAGTCAAAATATGCAAAAATAGCCTTTACTGCACTCACAGTAGAGACATAAATTACCAAAAAGAAGTCAAAATATGCAAAAATAGCCTTTACTGCACTCACAGTAGAGACATAAATTACCAAAAAGAAGTCAAAATATGCAAAAATAGCCTTTACTGCACTCACAGTAGAGATATGGTGGTAAACACTGCAAAATCAGTAATTTATCACACATAACGTGTAAATTATTAATTGAACCTTTATTTTTTACTTTTCTAAAATCTTAGTACATCTGGAGGTGTGCTGCCCTTTCTGGATTGCAGTTTGCTTTGAATGCATTTACCTCTTAGGAAAAAATAATACCATGCTATTACTTTTGCAGATATGAAATCTGTTTCCTGATTGGAATAAGGAATGACTTTAATACCTATGTAACCTGACTGTTACTGTCAATTTTGTAATGATGATATTTAAAGTTTTGTATACCCTGGTATTTTGACATCTTGATGAATGCATTTGTTCTATCAAGCTGTATATCCAGGGGAGATAAACAATGTCTGTACTGCTGGACCGTCTTTGTAGACAGTTTAGATTTCTAAGACAGTTACATCGAGAACTTTTCTCTAAACTGATAGTAGCTAGTTGTAATGTTGAAGGACCTTTGTTGCATGTTATGTTTACCTGGTTCTAATGATTTGATGATGAGAAATAGAGTTGTAGAGTAATTAGTGTGGAGTATAGTTTTATATTAAATTAAAGATTAAACCAAAATTGCTATACTATACATGTATTAATTTACTATAATTAGTATATTATAATTAATTTACTATAATTGTATTCAATTATATATTGATCAAGTTATTTCAGAACAAAGTATTTGTAACCAGTGTATGATGATTGTTTTACAATGGGAATCTCTCTGACAAAATCTGTATGGAGATTGTATCTTCTGATACTGGTTGTAGGTGTAGCAGTCTTAATTTTCCCCCAAAATATCCGTTACAGGGGCCATGACTTTAAAAAGCCTGTCCGCCAAATAACCTAAAAATCTTTTGATCCACAATCTTCATATTTGGCATGGAGGTTGCTCATCGGTGACCCATGTTTTTGAGGTCACCCGGACTGTGTCAAAGGTCAAGGTCACAGGGGCTTTTACTATAATAGGCTAGTCTGCTCAAATGCTTAAGAATGCCTGTCCACAGTGTATTGATTTTCACATTTGAAGCATATAATTATGTTCTCATATATTCATCATAAAACATCCACAGGCAAAGTAGGATGAGGGGGGGGGGGGGGGCTATTCAAGTTATGCAGTGGCAGTTTGAGGTCAGTAGGTCAAAGGGGTAAATATCACTTTGATCTTTGCCACTAAAAACATGTAGAATACATAACTTAGCAATGCACTGGCTTACTACCCTTAGATTTGACTGGGAGGTTGTCCTTGAGCTCTAAATGACCACTGTTGATTCTGACAAAGTGGTATGCGGGGGTATTCACGCCATGACAGTGGCAGTTCTAGTTTCTGTTAGTAACCTGGTGCCGTCCAGGTATGGTGTTCAGAAATTGTATTTTCTTGTATCAAGTACATGATGATTGCTTAAAGCAATGGGAATCTCTCTGAAATCACTGAGGATATACATTACTATCTGATACTTGATATATGCTACACTTTTAAATAGTTCTTACATACAAGGCTTACATAACTGAAAAATCTTGTTAAAGGGATTTAGATAGCTTTGAATTAATTATTATATATATTAATACTCGCCTAAGACAATTTTACTTTACCCATAAATAATGTATAAATTTTCACAGTCATCAAACCATAGAGAAAGAATTTTGAAGATTCTGTTTGAAAATCTTCCTGCACAACTGTGTCTCACCAGAGTTTGGTTCCCTGGTTTACCCACTTTCTGGGTTGAGCTGGGGACCAGATGTTGATAGTGTAGATTGTGCAAGGGAAGAAGAGAAATGTTTCAAGTGACAGGGTTTAGACATGACTGGACCTCTTTCTTAATGTCCATGAATCTTGTCTCCTCTAACTTGACATAATTTGTATCCTCTCAAATTAAAATATTGTTAAATTTAAGGTACTGGAGTAACAAATACAAAATAATTTTAAAGTTTCATATAGCAATATGCAGTGTGTATGTACTTTGTTTTGTACATGTATATTGTTAACCTTTTCTATTAAAACTGCAAAGATTATAATTTTGAAAGAAAATGAATTAATATTTCATCAAGAAGCACAAAAAACTATTTTGAAATAAGGTTGATCTTGGGAATTTTATAACAAACTGGCTAATTGATGTATTGTAAAATAGCAAAGGTAACAGACTTTTTAATGCCTCATTCAAAATTTAACCTCTTTGAAAATTTTAATTCAATTTGGTGGATTTATTTAAGTTTAACTCCTGAAATGCTCATTATTGAGGACAATAAATTCATTTTCTTGAAATCCAGGTTGATAATTTATTGTAATTTCTTGTTTGTAACCTGGTGCCGTCCAGGTATGGTGTTCAGAAATTGTATTGTCTTGTATCAAGTACATGATGATTGCTAAAGCAATGGGAATCTCTCTGAAGTCACTGAGGATATACATTACTTTCTGATACTTGATATATGCCACACTTTTAAAATAGTTCTGACATACAAGGCTTACATAACTGAAAAATCTTGTTAAAGGGATTTAGATAGCTTTGAATTAATTATTATATATATTAATACTCACCTAAGACAATTTTACTTTACCCATAAATAATGTATTAATTTTCACAGTCATCAAACCATAGAGAAGGAATATTGAAGATTCTGTTTCGAAAATCTTCCTGTACAACTGTGTCTCACCAGAGTTTGGTTCCCTGGTTTACCCAGTATCTGGGTTGAGCTGGGGACCAGATGTTGATAGTGTAGATTGTGCAAGGGAAGTAGAGAAATGTTTCAAGTGACAGGGTTTAGACATGACTGGACCTCTTTCTTAATGTCCATGAATCTTGTCTCCTCTAACTTGGCATAATTTGTATCCTGTCAAATTAAAATATTGTTAAATTTAAGGTACTGGAGTAACAAATGCAAAATAATTTTAAAGTTTCATATAGCAATATGCAGTGTGTATGTACTTTGTTTTGTACATGTATATTGTTAACCTTTTCTATTAAAACTGCAAAGATTATAATTTCGAAAGAAAATGAATTAATATTTCATCAAGTAGCACAATAAAATATTTTGGAATAAGGTTGATCTTGAGCATTTCATAACAAACTGGCTAATTCAGTAATTGGTGTATTGTAAATAGCAAAGATATAAGACTTTTTAATGCCTCTTTAAAATTTTACCTCTTTGAACATTTGTTTTCTATTTGGCAGATTCACTTCAGTTTCACTCCAAAATGCTCTTTATTGAGGACAATAAATTCATTTTCTTGAAACCCAGCTTGATAATTTATTGTAATTTCTTCTGTTTGTAACTTGGTGCCGTGCTGCTATGATGTTCAGACATTGTATTAACTTGTATCAAGTACATGATGATTGCTTAAAGCAATGGGAATCTCTCTGAAATCACTGAGGATATACATTACTTTCTGATACTTGATATATGCTACACTTTTAAACAGTTCTTACATACGAGGATTACATAACTGATAAATCTTGTTAAAGGGATTTAGATAGCTTTGAATTAATTATATATTAATACTCACCTAAGACAATTTTACTTTACCCATAAATAATGTATTAATTTTCACAGTTATCAAACCATAGAGAAAGAATATTGAAGATTCTGTTTTGAAAATCTTCCTGCACAACTGTGTCTCACCAGAGTTTGGTTCCCTGGTTTACCCAGTGTCTGGGTTGAGCTGGGGACCAGATGTTGATAGTGTAGATTGTGCAAGGGAAGTAGAGAAATATTTCAAGTGACAGGGTTTAGACATGACTGGACCTCTTTCTTAATGTCCATGAATCTTGTCTCCTCTAACTTGACATAATTTGTATCCCGTCCAATTAAAATACTGTTAAATTCAAGGTACTGTTGTCACAAATGCAAAATAATTTTAAAGCTTCAAATAGCAATATGCAGTGATTATGCACAATGTTTGTACATTGGTAACCTTTTCTAATAAAGATGCATAAGTTATAATTTCCAAGAAAAATAATTTATGTTTCATCAAGAAGCACAAAAAACTATTTTGGAATAAGGTTGATCTTGGATATTGCATAACAAACTGGCTAATTGGTGTATGTTAATAGAAAAGATAACAGACTTTTGAATGCCTCATTCAAAATTTAACCTCTTTGAACATTTCAATTCTATTTGGCAGATTCACTTCAGTTTCACTCCAAAATGCTCTTTATTGAGGACAATAAATTCATTTTCTTGAAACCCAGCTTGATAATTTATTGTAATTTCTTCTGTTTGTAACTTGGTGCCGTGCTGCTATGATGTTCAGACATTGTATTAACTTGTATCAAGTACATGATGATTGCTTAAAGCAATGGGAATCTCTCTGAAATCACTGAGGATATACATTACTATCTGATACTTGATATATGCTACACTTTTAAACACTTCTCAGTGTCTATTCTAGGACTCCAAAAACAGGGAATTTGTATCGAAAAGTGGGAATTTATAACATTTGTAGATCTTTTTCCTTCTTTCTTTATGTAAATTTTCCCCCTGCCTCTGAAAAAAGGGGGGTGGGGGAATTCTCAAAAATATGGGTGAATCCCCCAATCCTCCCCTCTTGGAATAGACACTGGTCTTACATATATAAGGTTTACATAACAAGAAAAACTTGACAAAGGGACTTGGATAGTTTTAAATTAGTAACATAATAAATACTCGCCTAAAACAATTTTACTTTACCCATAAATAATGTATTAATTTTCACAGTCATCAAACCATAGAGAAAGAATTTTGAAGGTTCTGTTTTGAAAATCTTCCTGTACAACTGTGTCTCACCAGAGTTTGGTTCCCTGGTTTACCCAGTTTCTGGGTTGAGCTGGGGACCAGATGTTGATAGTGTAGATTGTGCAAGGGAAGTAGAGAAATGTTTCAAGTGACAGGGTTTAGACATGACTGGACCTCTTTCTTAATGTCCATGAATCTTGTCTCCTCTAACTTGACATAATTTGTATCCTGTCAAATTAAAATATTGTTAAATTTAAGGTACTGGAGTAACAAATGCAAAATAATTTTAAAGTTTCATATAGCAATATGCAGTGTGTATGTACTTTGTTTTGTACATGTATATTGTTAACCTTTTCTATTAAAACTGCAAAGATTATAATTTTCGGAAAAAAAATGAATTAATATTTCATCAAGAAGCACAAAAAATATTTTGGAATAAGGTTGATCTTGGATATTGCATAACAAACTGGCTAATTTGTGTATTGTAAAATAGCAAAGATAACAGACTTTTTAATGCCTCATTCAAAATTTAACCTCTTTGAAAATTTTAATTCTATTTGGTGAATTTATTTCAGTTTAACTCCTGAAATGCTCATTATTGCTGACAATAAATTCATTTTCTTGAAACCCAGCTTGATAATTTATTGTAATTTCTTCTGTTTGTAACCTGGTGCCTTGCTGGTATGGTGTTTAGAAATTGTATTTTCTTGTATCAAGTACATGATGATTGCTTAAAGCAATGGGAATCTCTCTGAAAACACTGAGGATATACATTACTATCTGATACTTGATATATGCTACACTTTTAAATAGTTCTCAAGTTTCTATTCTAGGACTCCAAAAGCGGGGGATTTTTATCGAAAAGTGGGAATTGTAACATTTGTTGATCTTCCTTCTTTCTTTATGTAAAATTTTCCCCCTGCCTCTGAAAAGGGGGGAAGTTCTCAAAAATATGGGTGAATCCCCCAATCCTCCCCTCTTGGAATAGACACTGGTCTTACATATATAAGGTTTACATAACAAGAAAAACTTGACAAAGGGACTTGGATAGTCTTAAATTAGTAACATAATAAATACTCGCCTTAAACAATTTTACTTTACCCATAAATAATGTATTAATTTTCACAGTTATCATATCGTAGAGAAGGAATATATTGAAGATTCTGTTTCAAAAATCTTTCTGTACAACTGTGTCTCACCAGAGTTTGGTTCCCTGGTTTACCCAGTGTCTTGGTTGAGCTGGGGACCAGATGTTGATAGTGTAGATTGTGCAAGGGAAGAAGAGAAATGTTTCAAGTGACAGGGTTTAGACATGACTGGACCTCTTTCTTAATGTCCATGAATCTTGTCTCCTCTAACTTGACATATATTAATCAAATAATAAATATTAAATGTATATAAGTTATTGGATACAGCTTTATCATTGATTTAGATAACTTAACATTATTTCCTTGATGATAAAAAAAAGATGTATTACCATCAGAATATCCCTGGTATTTCTGACGGTTTGTTGGATGATTTATCCTGTCAGACCGGTCACCCAGGGTATAGTAATTTCCTGTATGTACTGCTGGACCAATCAATGTTGTAGGTTTGGATATAACTGTCAGGAACACGACAAATGTAACTCTCCAGTTAGCTCAATAGGTTAGACCCAGGTTTGATATCTGGGCATTGCAGGTCACTTTACCTCTGCTCTGGCATGTACACAAGCTATCAGTTCCTTGAGAAAGTGAAAGCAACTAGTACTGGTAAACTTTGACAGCCTACCCAGAAAAAATGCGATGACTAAACACTGCTCTGGTAAATTCAATGTGACTGTGGTGATCTGGATGGTAAACTACCAGCACCACCACATGTCAATATTAAACCATACAAGGTTGAAGGATTAAAAAAAACTGTAGAACTTGCTAAATGATCTGTTGTTAACATTATAATCTTTATGATGGCAAGTTTATTGTAATGAAATTTTGATTATGATTTTTGCAGGAAGTTGAAGCAGCCTTTAAAGCCGAAAGTGACCATACAGATAGCTAGTGAAGTGAATAAAACATCTATACCAAAACCTATACAAATACTTGCAGCATATGTGTGTGATGAATCCAAACATAAACTTTTACTGGTGCATGGAAATAATTTAAAACCTACGTTTGAAAAAGTTGTAAGTATATTCATACAAGCAACTGTAAAAATATATACTGGATGATTTCTATGTTCTTTACTGCATTGTGTTATTTGTAAATCAGTCATGAAATTTGGTAATAAAATACACAGGCAAGTTTTGGAAGCAACTCCCAGTAAGAAAATTTCACTGTGAATTTGTAATTTTTACTTGCTTGAGAAAAAAACCTTAAAAATGTCTCGCTTTGTTGTAGTACTAATTTTGATCACTAGTAAATTGAGGGAGTGTATACATACCTATCGTTTCTACAAAAAGCTATTATAAACATCTTAAAGTTTTGAACCCTTTCATATTCAGATTTGTGTTGAACTTTTCGGTATATTTTCAGACTTGTTCTATGTCAGAACCAGATATGTGTTTAATACGAGAAGATTCAATGTCAGTCAGAGCTAGGAAGGAGTCCAATGTAACTAAGGCAAGTCATTCATGATAGTCACACTTTATGAACAATTAAAATGTATGGCCGAGTGGTGAACATGTAAGACTAGTAATCAAAGGATTGCTGGCCGTGTGGGTATGAACTTTCTCAGGGCAAAGGCGCTGTTTCCTTGAACAAGAAACTTAACATTCATTGCTTAGTACTGGTTTGTTCCAGAAATGGATTTGAGAGTATTTCAATATGCTTTTATCTTCCAATACTATTCAACTAAAATAATAAAATGTGTTTGAATATAAGAGTAATAAATGATAAATGTCTCTATATATTTGGTAAACTAAAACATGGAATTTATTCACTTGCTTATTATATAAAAATATCAAAACTTAAAGCTTGTCTAATGTAAAGAGTTAATCTGGTTATTCATACAGGTTAAGACACCTGAGGTATCTAAGGATCTGACTGTATTAGTGCCAGGACAGATGACCCCTATCCCTCCTACACAAGAACAGACTGGAAACAGACGGAAGAGGAAAGCATCTGTGGGAGAGGTTAGTAGTATTAACTTATGAGATTTATATAAACCAAAGAGATTTATGTATACCAAAGGAATTAAAGTAAACCAAGGAAATTTAAGTTAACAAAGGGAATTTAAGTAAACCAAGGGAATTTAAGTAAATGAAGGGAATTTAAGTGATAAGATAAGAGCTATGATGTTGAGTGACTTATCGAGCTAAAGCCTTTGAGACGAGCCTTTGCAGATAAACTTTACTTGATCACTGTTTTGTTCTTATAATAAGGTGTTAATAAAATATGTTGGGTCAGATATTTTTAATCAGTTTTTGCCTTGATTTTATTAATACATTTTGAAAAGCTTACTTTTACAACTTTATGTACAAATCCTGATGAATTTTGCTGAGTTACCTGTAATTGTATATATGATTTTCTACAAATTGCAATATATCTATGTAATTTGTTTTGGTGATTGTTGTTTGTGTATATTTAAGAAACTTTAGATCATAGTTTTTCTGAACAATCTAAAATGTTTTTTTATACATAAGAACTTGCAGAAATAAATCATGACTGTTCTGTTGATGTTTTTGATTAATATTATATAGAGAGAACACATGTTTTAAACCATTGTAGATGACATTAGAACAGAGATTGAATGCTGTTAGTTTAGAGAAACCGAAGTCTAGAGATGGTAAACATCCACCTAGAGCAGATACCCTAGTCACTTTGCTAGTGCAGGGACTTCAAAGTCAAGACAGAAAACTTTTAAATGTAAGTGTTTCTAGTTATGTTACTTTATTCTCATAATTATTACCTGAATTTCAGTCAGATATTGGCTAAAAGCTGTATACACATATTAGAATCAATGTTGCTTCAAAATCATTTCTAAGTAAATGTCAGAAGTTGTGTAATTTTGAAGAATTTATTCATGTTATTCAGGGATTTTTTTCAGGATTTTGGGAACATGACCCATACCCATGGAATTGGGAATTTCAGCAATGTTTTGTTAAAAATTGGGAAAAGATGCATGACTGAAATTTTGCAGTGATTAAATGAATGCAAACAATCACTGTCTAGGATGGCATCTTCAAACATTTAAGCACTCTTACAATGAAGAAGCCTTATTTACAAAGACTTTAGAATTCTTTATTCAGTATTTTCATTTTGTAATTTTCAATTGGGAATATTTTCCTGTGGATTGGAATAATAAAATAATGTACTATTTTCAATTGGGAATATGACCCAATAACGGCTATAAAATAAGCCAAAAAAATCCCTGTTATTTAACTGTTTTGTTTGATAGATATTTTAAAGATTTGTATTGTTGTTGTTACAGCAAGTTTTACAGAAAACTGATGTCAAGTTAATACAGAATACTGTACGTAAATTACCGGTACAGATGGTGATACCTCTTGTACAGGAACTCACTAAACGAATGCATGGACATGCTCAGTCGTAAGTTATCTTATTTCATGTTTAAATTAACTGTTATTTCAATATTTACTCAGAACGGCAAAATTAATAAGTGTATTGCTGTGATAATTCTAGGAAATGACATGATGTAGTAATTATATCAAAATTTTATATTTTGGTAACATTTTCAAAATTTTATATTTTGGTAACATTTTCAAAATTTTATATTTTGGTTACAGTTTCAAAATTTTATATTTTGGTAACAGTTTCAAAATTTTATATTTTGGTAACAGTTTCAAAATTTTATATTTTGGTAACAGTTTCAAAATTTTATATTTTGGTAACAGTTTCAAAATTTTATATTTTGGTAACTGTATCAAAATTTTATATTTTGGTAACAGTTTCAAAATTTTATATTTTGGTAACATTTTCAAAATTTTATATTTTGGTTACAGTTTCAAAATTTTATATTTTGGTAACAGTTTCAAAATTTTATATTTTGGTAACAGTCATAAGGCACAGAGGCTCCCTTTATAACATTATGTTTAGTACAAGTTTTATAAAGTTTTATATTATAGAACAATGAATGCAAGATTCTTTTTATGACATAACTAAACATATAAGTGAATGATGATTTGAAAATGTTTAGACAATATGCACACGCTTTTGTATACCTTTTTATACGCCCATTTGAAAAACGGGACGTATTATGGGAACGCCCCTGGCGGGCGGGCGGCGTCTAATTTTGTCCGGAGCATATCTCCTACATGTATGGAGGGATTTTAATGAAACTTCATAGAAATGTTCACCACTATGAGGAGCAGTGTCCCGCACATGAACCAGGTCTCTAGGTCAAAGGTCAAAGTCACACTTAGAGCTCATTGAAAAATGCTTGTCCGGAGCAAAACTTCCACATGTGTAGAGGGATTTCAATATTACTTGGCACAAATGTTCACCATTGTGAGGCGGAGTGTCGAGCGCAAGATTCAGGTCCTTGCGGCCAAGGTCAAGGTCACACATAGAGGTCAAAATTCAGATAAAAATATGAAGATGTGTATATGGACCATTTAGTCATCATTTATTGAGGGATTGTAACACAAATGGTCATTATCAAGACTATGGCTGTGATACATATAATTTAGGTCAATATATACAAGGTCAAGGTCACTAAAGATGATGAAATATTCAGATTTTGTCCGGAGCATATCTCCTACACGCATGGAGGGATTTTAATGAAATTTCATAGAAATGTTCACCATTATGAGAAGCAGTGTCCCGCACATGAACTAGGTCTCTAGGTCAAAGGTCAAGGTCACACTTAGAGCTCATTGAAAAACGCTTGTCCGGAGCAAAACTTCCACATGCATAGAGGGATTTCAATATAACTTGGCACAAATGTTCACCATTGTGAGGCGGAGTGTCGCGCACATAATTCAGGTCCCTGCAGTCAAGGTCACACATAGAGGTCAAAGTTTAGATAAAAATATGAAGATGTGTATAGGGACGATTTAATCATCATTTATTGAGGGATTGTAACAAATGGTCATTATCATGACTACGGCTGTGACACATGTACTTTAGGTCAATATATGCAAGGTCAAGGTCACTAAAGATGGTGAAATATCCAGATTTTGTCTGGAGCATATCTCCTACATGTATGGAAGAATTTTTATAATACTTTATGGAAATGTTCACCACCATGATATGTATTGCTCCATGCATGATCCAGGTCAAAGGTCAAGGTCACACTTAGAGCTCATTGAAAAACGCTTGTCCGGAGCAAAACTTCCACATTCATAGGGGGATTTCAATATTACTTGGCACAAATGTTCACCATTGTGAGGCTGAGTGTCGCACGCAAAATTCAGATCCCTGCGACCAAAGTCAAGGTTACACATAGAGGTCAAAGTTCAGATAAAAATTTGAAGATGTGTATAGGGACCATTTAGTCATCATTTATTGATGGATTGTAGCACAAATGGTAACTATCATGACTACAGGTGTGACACATTTAATTTAGGTTAATATTTGCAAGGTCAAGGTCACTATCCAGATGTTGTCCGGAGCATATTTTCTACATGCATGGAGGAATTTTAATGTTACTTTATAGAATTGTTCACCACCATGAGACGTAGTGCCCTGCACATGAACCAAGTCTCTAGGTCAAAGGTGAAGGTCACAGTTAGAGGTCATAGAAAAACGCTTGTCTGGAGCAAAACTTCTACATGCATAGAGGGATTTCAATATAATTTGGCACAAATGTTCATCATTGTGAGGCTGAGTGCCGTGCATAAAATTCAGGTCCCTGCTACCAAGGTCAAGGTCACACATCCTGTGCATATCTTCCCTACTGATTTGTTTTAAGGTTCATTTAACAACACAGTGCCAAGAATAAAAACTTGCTTGCTAGATAACACTTATCCATAATGCACCCATCTCCATCTAAAGCTTTCGTAAACGGGCGTATTTTGTGACTATGGCACCCTTGTTTCTTACTCTTTTCCTGTTCCTGTAGATGATGTTATTATTGCACATGTATAATATAAGGAAATACGTTATGTTACATGGAGAACAAGGAAATAATATATTGACATATTAACATATATATTTACAGGGGTATATCACAGGTTATATTGAAATATTAACATATATATTTACAGGGGTATATCACAGGTTGTATGGATACAAACAGTGTTAGCTGTACATACTTCATATCTAATGACAGTAAGTGGGACTATATTTATATTGTATGTATCTATTCAACTTTATTCTAGGGGTGTCCGTGACCGAGTAGTTAGTTGTTTACTTAAAACCACTTGCCCATTAACACCGAGTTCAAATGGACTTTCGATTCTTGCATGTGAGAAAGCTATCCAGCTGGCTTACTGAACATCGATGGTTTTACTTAGGTGCCCGCTTGTGTCTGAAATAAGTAAAATGTATGTATGAAATCATAATCTGATAGATTGTATATTATCATTGCATTTTATCTTGGCTAAATAAATGAAAGATACATCAAGTATTAAAGTTTGACACTTGATTTTCAGTCACTTAGGAAGAATAAAAATTAATACTGACTTAAACCTGTGTCTAGAGATGGTAAAAAATAATAAAATAGGAAATAATTGTGTAGATTTGTATGTGTTGTTTACCCAAAAATATTTGTGTATCAAACTTGGAAGTAAAGTGTTTCAGTTTACAGTTAAACGAGTTTTAATGTACAATATATCTATGTATGTTTGTATATAGTTTCCAGAAATTGTGGAGACATTTAGTGGACTGTATCAGATGATGGACTCTCGTGTCACTATGCTGGGAAAATTGTCAAGATTAAAGGGAAAACTAGATATAATGCTATCACAGGTAAACTTAAGCACATAGCTGTTTTGTTTGATAAGTTAGAGGGAGTTTGTATTTATCATATTGTTATGAATCATTCAGTGTCTTGTACATGTACAGTCTTTTCTCCACTGATGATAAACATTTAGTTAATGGTCTCTCATGATATCTCACTTGGAATCACTCACAAGTATGATCTAATTACACGATGTTAATTGAACCCTTGAATGTCACAGGTTACTCATTCTACAGTCCAGCAGGTGAGGTCATCTTCTACCAGTGTAGATGGTAATTTGTCCATATGATATACAAAGTGCCAGTTTTGTATACTAAGTACAAATAAAGGTGTAGTAATTGACCGCTCAGTTCAGAATTTATTGAATTTGCTGAACCTAAGAAGAAATGTTTTAAGTGCCAAATACTGAAGCTTATTTGATAAAAAAAAACTTTTTTCAACCCACTGAATACATATTTATGTTGACAATATAATGTGTTAACAATATAGATATTTCCATTTTTTCCAGATAAGTGCTCAAACACAAGCCCAGGGTGAGGAACCAGGAGCTTCCCAACCTGCCCTCCTACAGTTTGAAGAAGGTAATAATAGTTCACATAGATTATCTGCATAATATGCGAGAAATTGTTTGTCAGCTTAGAGAGTAGTTTGTGAATATTCTGGGCTACATTTCATAGGACTTTCATAAATCTGAAATCAGTTCAAGACCAAAACACATATAACACCTATGTTAAGATAAAACTTGGATTGAAACTGTCTTGATTGCAAACACGTTGAGTCCTATGTTAATTTTAGGTCAGGGACTGGATATTTAATTAGGACTTTCTATGAGATGCAGGCCAGTTTTATAACATGATGTTGATCATTTAACAAGTGCTATGATTGCTTTTAGTGGGTTGTGAAGATTTGGCTTGATTCATCAGATATTTTCTAAAATCTTTGTGACCTCCATATGTAGATGTTTTTGTGTTGAAGCACTTGGGGGTTAAAGGACATTACTTATTGGGCTATTGTATGTTATGTTTTCATTGTTCTTTTATAATATTACCGTGTCACATGATGTTAAGAATTAGGAAGAGTCGTAGTTTATCTAACTATGAAGATAACTTTTCTTACTGATGACTATTTAGAAACTATAAACTGTAATAATATTTGTTTTTGGACTTTGAACTTGAAATGATTGTCAGTGTTAGTTTTGTGTCATTATAGGATTTTGTTTGTTTTTTTATTGAATTTGAAAAACTGTGGAGATATATTTTAGTATTTGAGTTTTATGACAAGTCTTACTAAATGTGTTCTATAATATGTAGGTTTGAAAATACCTTACTTGGGATCTATGTATTACACACCTACTACAAATGATGTTTTCTTATTTTTTGGAAACAAGACATTCAAAGTTTTTTTCAAATACTGCTAAATGATGAATTAGATTTAGGAAGAGTCGTAGTTGTAAAACTATGAAGATACTTGATCTACTGATAGCAGTATTTCTTTATTAATAATGCACCATTCAGTTGTAATCTTTAACGTCCGCGCCCACAAGCCCCAGGGAATTCATCTTAAGGATTATGAGATATCCAGTTCTCACTATCAGCCTACAGGGAAGCACAAACCATCACCTATTGGTTTTACAGCAGTCATGTTCAAATATTTTCCCAAGTATTTTCTTTTATACATATTTAGTTATGTGAGTGTTAATTGTGTATGAAAAGATATTGCCAAATGATGATTTAATCAAGGTCATAGTTACCCAACTAGGATGACCAGAAATATCACCTACCGAACTGATGGCATAAATACATTTATAAATATGGGGGGGGGGGGGGGTTTGATTCACTAATTTGTTAGGTTTCTTCATTAGGTATTAGTTATAAATTTATATGAGATTTAATAGCCAAATGATGACTTAATAAAGGTCATAGTTACCCAACTAGGATGACCAGAAATATCACCTACCGAACCAGGGCTTTTTTACACAAATTGGGGAAGTAGCCCAGCCCTTATTTTAGGGGAAAAATTATAAGGTATATTTGCAAAAGGGGAAGAAAAAACTTGATTTAAATGCAATTTTTGGGGAAAACTGCATGATTTTAAAGAATTTTTTAATGGGGAAGCAGCCCTATACCGGCCCCTGTTATAGAAGGAAAAAAGGCCCTGCGAACTGATGGCATAAAAACATTGATAAATATGGGGGGGGGCTGGGTTGGTCTGAAACACTCTTAATTTATAGGTATGTGTTAGGTGTCTTAATAGGTATAAGTTATAAATTTATATGTGATTTAATTTGCCAAATGATGACTTAATAAAGGTCATAGTTACCCAACTAGGATGACCAGAAATATCACCTACCGAACTGATGGCATCATATAAATAGTAAATGCTGAAATTCAAAACATTTGTTTATGGTGGTTTGTTACAAAAACTATTAGTAAAAGAATTGACAGTTTATTTCTTTAATCATTGTTACCTTTAGCTAGGATGAGGAGAAATTTCATTCAAGAAAAACATAAATTTTGATAATAAATTCTCCAGAAGGGTTCATTTTAGACTGCCTCCAAAACGTAGGTAAAGCACATTAAAATGTATGTGATTAAAAACAAAAATGCCTTAAATCTCATACATTATCTCGGAAACATTTTTAAAATGACCAACCTTTGCACCATGCAAATAGTTTAGTTGCTGAATGATTATTTTGGATTTAGGAAGAGTCGTAGTGTAAAAACTAATGAAGATTAAATTTTACCTTTTGATAGCAGCTGATGTCTGTATCCATTGATGTTGTTTCTCTAACATTTTATCATGAAATGATACAGTTAATTCTTTAACCTAAATATAACATTATGATATGCAGAACTAGTAGAAATTATAAACAATGAGCATATTATTATTTTGATACATTAAAGGCTTGTTTATGCCTCAGAAAGGAATAATTTTGCATTCTTTAAAAAGGACAAACATGAGTTTTATAACGTTTAATTCATGGTTTTTAGAGTATGTTAGATGCTTATCACTAAGATAGTAGGGTAGAATGTGAAATTATTTTTCAAAAAGTAGCAAAATGTTAACATTATTTTACGTAGTAGTATTTTGATTTTCTATACAAAATAGTAAATCACTATTACAGTACTAATGTCCAAAATGATAGAGAAGCCAAGATGGTTCAGGTGTTTGGTAGATGAGACTAAAACATAACAATGAAAATAAAAAACCCTTGAGGAAACAAAAATAAAAACATATGTGTTGACATGGGCCTTTAAGTAAACTACTGCTATATGATGAATTAGATTTAGGAAGAGTCGTAGTTGTAAAACTATGAAGATATTTGATCTACTGATAGCAGTATTTTGAGAAATGTATGATTTTACTATTTGTAGTTCACCTCTAGATTTAATTGTGTTTGTTGACGTTATTATAGATTATGGGTTGGTTTCTATAGTCCTAAAATTATTTGACTGAAAATTTAGTATGATTTTCAATATTTGGATTATCTTCAGTTATCAACTTAAGAATGTATTGCCAAATGATGACTTAATGAAGGTCATAGTTACAAAACTAGGATGACCAGAAATATCACCTACCGAACTGATGGCATTAATACATTTATAAATATGGGGGGGGGGTCTGGGACACTAATTTGTTGGTATTTGTTAGGTTTCTTCATAGGTATTAGTTATAAATTTATATGTGATTTAATAGCCAAATGATGACTTAATGAAGGTCATAGTTACCCAACTAGGATGACCAGAAATATCACCTACCGAACTGATGGCATAAATACATTTATACAAGGATCAAAATTTCCACTTATATTTTCTAGTAGAGATTGATGCAGGACGAGTACAACATTGTTGTATGGTAATTTGCTAATGTGATAAAAAATCTAGAATTCTCATTATCAGTTAGTTTACATTTAAAGTTGGAAAACCGGAAACAAAGATTGTGTTTTAGGTTATGTATAATTTGCACACTTCATAAAGCTCTGAACACATTGTTAGTTGGATACGGGTGTGACTGTAATGTTCCTGACAATGCTCTATAAAGTGTTCTATGTATACAGGACTTAAAACACAAGTTTATTTCCGGTTTGGGTTCAATTTGTAAACGAACTGATTATGAAAATTTCTAGCGGTCTATTGCATCGACAAAGTTTATCTTGAAAAACATGCCCGAAGTGCAGGGCGAGTAGCATGGCATGCAGAACAAGTAGAAATTTGAAGCTACGAGTGGTTCAGATTTTTTTTTCCGATCCCTGTTATGGATATTGAAATATACTGTTTCTATTTATGGGTATTTGATAGGTTTGTATTGGTTATAAATTTGTTTGTGATTTAATTTGCCAAATGATGATTATATCAAGGTCATAGTTACCAAACTAGGATGACCAGAAATATCACCTACCGAACTGATGGCATAAATACATTTATAAATATGGGGGGGCTGGGTTGGGTCTAAAACACTCTTAATTTATAGGTATTTGTTAGGTTTCTTCATAGGTATTAGTTATAAATTTGTTTGTAGATAATTTGCCAAATGATGACTTATTGAAGGTCATAGTTACCCAACTAGGATGACCAGAAATATCACCTACCGAACTGATGGCATGTAATCAAATGCTTGACAAATATGATTTTATAGGAATCTAATTACCAGCTTACTCAAACAATGATTTCTCTATTTCATACAATTTTTTTGCCTTGGCTTATTCTTTCGGCAAATTGTATGTTTGTTCCCATTTAAGTTATGGGGGGGGGGGGGGGAATCCTTTTTAAAAAATACCTTTATTTAAAATGTCCAAAAATATGAAACCGTCCCAAATTAAGATATTTTAAAGAGTTTTTCCCCCTCTTTTCCAAAGGTTTAACATTTACATTTAAATAGATCTCTTCACATAATAATATCTATATATATATGTTGTATAGTTAAAGCGGCATGCCTTCAGATTCATGCTTATTTTCATGAAAATTTTGAAAATGTATTTAAAAATAAAATATTATGAAGTGAACAAAAAAAGTAATAAACACATTGCAATTGGCACTTACAATCTGAGTAAATTACGAAAAAGAAGTAAAAATATGCAAAATTAGTCCCTACTGCGCAGTAGAAATATAATGATAAATACTGCAAAAATCAGTCATTAATTGCACACAAGATATAAATTATCAGTTGAATCTTCAATCTGTTCACTTTTCTTAAAATCTTAGTACATTTTTCCCAAGTTTAATTTTCTTGAAATATTTTGGCTCATTTCGAGGCATGCAGCTTTAAGCTTAGTTGTTGACTTCAAACCACTTACCCCTCACCAGTCACCACAATGAATTTGAATCCCATCAGAGACTTTAGATTCTTTCATGTGAGGAAGCTATCCAGCAATGCTTTCTGATTATATATAGCTTGTTTAAACCATTACCTTTACTTGATTTGTTAAAGATACAGCATAATGATGATTTGGTATATCTGAGATTGATGACAACTCACTCGCCGAACTGAAATAGCTGTTGCTTAAATTTTCTAATCACTGCTCATTTTCGTTTGTTCAATCTATTACCTCAGTTTGAAATATTTTAGATAACATAACAGGTTTTATGTCATGTCTTGCATAAAAGATTTTATAATTATGTCTTACACGACAGGTTTTATATTGTGTCTTACATGACAGGTTTTATATTGTGTCTTACATGACAGGTTTTTCAAACCACTTGCTGTGTCTTGCACGACAGGTTTTATATTGTGTCTTACATGACTGTTTTATATTGTGTCTTATATGACAGGTTTTATATTGTGTCTTACACGACAGGTTTAATATTGTGTCTTACATGACATGTTTTATATTGTGTTACATGACAGGTTTTATATTGTGTCTTACATGACAGGTTTTACATGACAGGTTTTATATTGTGTCTTACAGATTCATCAGATGAAGATTTAGAGGATATTGCTATAGGACCACCAGTTTCTGACTCGGAGGTAACATTTATTTTATATTGCAATACCTGTACTTTGCCATAAAAGTTTTTATTATATCAGTTTAGTTCTTGTGAAGGGACAAAAAAGATTAGGAAAAATCATGCAAAGGACATTTATAAACAGGACACAACATCATTGTATGAACAAAACATAAATTTTACTGAAATCATATAAATGGGTATAAAGTGATTTATATAAATTAGGGAGTATATATTGGTGCATCGCAGATATTTGTCATCTGATATTGATGTATCGTCAAAATGCTTTGCAATGAATCAATGACAGCTCTAGCATAATGAACATTCTCTAATAAAATTCATTTCATAACTCCGAGGTTTTTTTGGAATATTACAAATACTAAGATTAGTTATGGAATAAATATAACTATATAGAATGAGAATAACAGCATTTAGTTATATGTATTTCAGGAGAACTGGGAGGATTTTTCTGACGAGGAGTCGGACATGGACATGCAGGATGAAATAAATGGCAAGGGATGACACAGTAATTAACGAGGCGGCCATTTTGAATAATACATGATGGCAGTCTTTAGAATCATTGTTAGATATAAAACATACAATTGTTATTTTCTAACAAAAGAAAACCCCTCCCGCAAGGTACAATCTGCTGGAATATAAGTGCTAACACACACATGGCTCTCACCTAGAAAGGTTGTATTGAGATCTTGGATGATCAGTAAGATGTATTCAGCTAATGTAAGGAATGTTCATGGTTTCAAGGTGTGCTCTCCTGCCTCTGAGATGTTTCTTTCCTCGTAATGCTGGTATATCACAATAGTAACCATAAAACAGTGTATATGTGACATAAAATCCAACATAACATAGTGGAAAGTCAGGTTCAATGGTTTGTGATGAAGTTTTGGAGAAACAATGTGTTCTGTTTATGAATGGGCATTGGAAATAGTTAAGACATTCACTGGCTGTAACACATGCTTTGTGAGATAATTTGCAGCTTATACATGTGTGGCATTAAATAAAGCCAGTTCAGTTTTCTTACATTGGGAATATATAAAACTATGCATTTGCTACTGTGAATGTATGACGTTGGGTCAATGTGTTCTATAGTGTTAGGTTATCAGATTGCCATAGGCGACTTTTTACTGCCCTTTAATGCTTTTTAAATGAGAACTGTTCAGATGAATGCAGAGATATCTTATAATTACAACGTATCATAGAAAATGTCCATACATTTTGTAGACTTTAAGGTATATGTAAAAACTTTTAGAAAGTTTTTAGTTTTGTATGAATTTAAAACTTTTACCTTCTTCATTTATTATTGAACCAAATTTTGTTATTTATTATCCAAATGCATTTTGTTGTAAATGTGCAATAAAACGTTAAGTGATTAAAAAAAACCTAAGGCTGATTGTAATTGACTGTAGACAAATACCCTGTAAAATTTAGTTGTTTGTTGCATCAATTTTCCTGTGAAATGACTGACTGGTCCATGCTGCTATTTTAGCAGATGTTAATAGATTTTGATAGTGATATTTTTCAGTCGTAGTATTACCAAAATGCACTTTATTTACCTATAATGTTACACATTACTCTTGAGTTACATTGAAAGTGACATGGTAAAACTACTTCCAGTCTGTATTTGATTGATAGGCAGTTTGAATGGGAATATCCATCCCGAGTAATCTCCCAAGGGCGCATTCCCAAAGGACGGATATTCTGATTCGAACCACAAACCTGTCAGATATTAAAACAGCAAAATTATGTCATCCTAAGCATGCCATTGTATAGCACGCAACTCGTCTGATACCCCTATGCCAGATGAATTTTCCGTCATGGGTAAATCTAACAGAAAACAGTTTGATATGCAAGAAGATAGGTTTCTAATCTGTTAATATTTGGGTAATCTGCTGTTTGACCAGGTTCTACTGTTTTCTACATTATTTCTCTATATTGATATGCCTTTAACAAAAAGCAGTTAATATGTATAGCTGGATAAGCCTTTTTGGGTATTAGGATAAAAATGATGATAAATAGTTGTTTGAATACAGTTTAACTGTAATAAAAAAATTTTATTATTGCATGAATACTTACTATGTGCAGTGTAAAAGTATTCATGAAGACATACATTCATTGTTTGGTTATGAATTTCATCAACATTTTACAATCGTGTGCAGACATTGTTATTATATATTTGTATATATGTACAGGTGTTAATTTACTGATACTTTAAAATGTATATGTCAGTAATAAATCGTAAATAAAACCATTGCCAAACTAGAAACATTGTTATTTTTGTTGTCAGATAAAGCAGAATTGTAATGTAGTTACCATAGTAAGAAAATAACTGGAGAAGCTTTCAGAGGAAAGAATTTGATGACATTATTTGTCATGTTTTGGGATATATTTTACCATTACTATACATAAATTTATCCTGGATGATGTGCCCCATTCCCCTGAATTAGCACTATGTTGAACATAAGGTTGAGATTATCAGAGATCTCTCAGTGTACTCCCAATAGCTGCACAAGGTAATCAAGAGCTCGTAATGAAGTCTGGCAAGAAATTATCAGTATAAATAGATGTGGAATAGTTAAAATACGACTTCAAACGACATGCACGTTACACCTGTAGGTTTGAATCCTGCCAGGGACTTTGAATTCTTTAATGTGAAGTAGCTGGATTACCGAATGTTGGGGGTTCTACTCTGCCCTTTATGCCTGATATGATAATGCAAGAAAGTGCACCGGATGTCATTCCCCCCCTCCCACACACTGCAACCAGGAAAATTGGATAAAAAAAATTGTGCCCATCAAAATGTAATAAATTTTGTTTTTGAGTAAGCAATAAATTCATGCTCTTCCTGAATTTTGACCTCTGAAACAACAAACTGACATAACTTCGTATAAAGTATAAAGTTATGGGATCTAGAAAAAAATAACCTTTCCAAAATATAAGGATCGTTTAACTCTTGTAAACTCTAAAACTCTTGTATGTAATACTGTTCTATAGAACATATTTTTAGAAATTTGTGTTATTGGCATTTTAAAGCAGCAAGCCTCCAGATTCATGCTAAATTTTAAATGTATTAAAAAGTGAAGTATTGTTAAAGAAGACAATAATGTTCAGATTAACAACCCATATAAATTATCAAAGGTCAAAATATGCAAAAATAACCCTTACTGTGTAAGTAACACAGTAGGAAAAGTTGAAAAATACTGCAAATCTGTCATAAATCGGACATACATGGAAAGTATCACTTCTTAAAATCTTAGTTTTCTACCTCAAGTTAGATTTTGTTGAAATACTTTGTTAAATGCAAGTTAAACTTGTACATGCAAATTTTTTTATTTTCAACTGTATAAAGTTTAAAGGGACTCCACTGAGGTTTTTTAAACATGAGGGGACTGGAATTTTTTTTTCAAGATTATACCATCTTAAACATAACAAATAATGGTCTGTGTCAAACTCGCAAAAATGTGACAAAAAACAATGAACATTCTGTTTATATTTAAATGCATTTATCATGAAAATCAATGATTTTATGAAAGATAATAAAATGGTACATATATTAAAGTCAAAATGTTTCCCATCTACAGCCAAACCTGTGTCATAGATCACCTCTGATTAAAGATAACCTTACAAATTAATAAGGCCACTTTTAGATAACCTTTTTTGATAAAATGAAATAAATAAACACCAAATAAAGACCACTTAATTATAAAGTCCATTATTTGTCTATCTCTTGCGTGACCTTTGTTCAAAGATTTTACTGTAGGAGGAATTCTATTTGACAGAGACAAAAAATTATACAGTATGTTGCAGCACTTTTCTGATGCTTAATGTACGTCTACCAGTAAATTATTTAATCATTTCCATAGATTTTTGTTGTCAAATTTCAGAAGATTTTCGTCAAAAGATTTAACAATACTTCATAACACTAATAAATTATTTCTACAGCATGTTCACAATTTTACTTATATCAGGACTTCTTTGAGACTGACTGAACCAAATGTTTCTGGGTTGGGTTTTTTTCACTAACTTGATCAATCTTAAATATATATATATAAACATGTAAGTTTGTTTCCGTCTTAGATCACAATACAGTATCACCACACAAGTTATATACTGGGATATATATAACTATACAATCATTTCTAGCTCTCTAGCATATTCTATTGTTTGCTGGGCTAAATCCATGGCTGGAATCACTTCATCAGTCTCTTTCTCTTCTTGTTCAAAGTAAAAGAATCCATCTTGCTTCACTTCCCATTTTCTCTATAATAATATATATACAAAAAAATCTTTTAAATAAATGCTGATAATTTAAAGCTCCTGTTGTCCTTATGAAATCTCATTTCATGTTGCTTTAATAATGTTTTATAACTTAAGATTTAATTTTCAGATTTACTATTAAATCTATTTTTTTTTAAACATATTTTGCATCTTCATGATGTAATTTTACTGTGATCAGTAATACAAAACAAGAATTATAACAGTATGTTCCATTATTCTCCATGCTTGATGGTAAAACAAAAACCATGCAACAATTAACCTATTGCGTACACAAAGAAGAACAATTCAGTAAAATTCCATGATTCATGTTTGATTTTTTGTTTTTTTGTCAGTAAACTATATTTATGGCCCTTGAAATGTGTGATGGTTCAGTTAAATAATATCTATTTTTGTGTATGTAAACTTAAACTTCCATGCAAAACTTTACCATGGAATTAAACCAATAACAATAATTCGAAATGACCCAGTCTTACAACAAGTAAGGGGCAATGACTCAACAAAAATCTAATGATAATTATTATATACCTGTGTGGCATACTCTTTCATCATTTTAACAGAGTCATAGAACAACATTCTAGCAGCTTCATTCAATGCTATCTTCTCATAGGCTTTCTCTATACAGCCGGCAATCTCATTTCTATGATGAAAAAAATACATACAAAATTACTCAAAGTTAGGGCATGGAACATGTATCAATTGTACAACCGAGTAATCTCACTTCAATTACTTATTGATAACCACTTGGGCAGTTCAACTAGTAAAAAAAAAACTGTCAATATTATCATATCATATTTATTTATAGTACACTAGGACAGCTTCAGTTTCATGTGTGGTCATGTGACACTCACTTGATGAAATAAGAATTACACACTGATAAGCAATTATCATAGTATTGCAAGCAATCCATAAGTCCCCTACCGGTTAGAACCCCATCAACATTCTGAAGGGCCATTGGCCATTCACTAATGTTTGAATTTTTCTCTATTTTAAGTAAATTTGTTGGAAAAGTTCTTTAAAAGTGATCACAGGAAACAGTTTTTATGAACAGACAGACAGACAGACAGACGGACTGAGGACACTCTAAAGTAAATATTTGAAACATCCCTGTTGCCAAAATATAACATTTTAAAAGCAAAATTCTTAAAGAGGAGATAACTCTTGAATTAAAGATGCAATTTCATTAAAATTTTCAGCTCTTTTTGACTAATCACAAATATTGTTATATTTGCCATGTTTTAAGCGTATTTGTTGCCAAGGCAACTGATATTTTATCAAAATAGGAAGAACAGATAAGACATGCATAATCTCAAGACTGCTATCTACCCATATGTCAAGTTTCATAAAAATATTTCCAGTACTTTTTGAGTTATCACTGGATTCAGTTTATGTGTAAAATTTGCCAAATTTTCAGTCTATGTGTTGCCATAGCAACCAGAATTTTCAACATAGGAAGAAAAGAAAAAGACGTGCATAATTTCAAGACTGCCATCTACCCATATGTCAAGTTTCATAAAAATATTTCCAGTACTTTTTGAGTTATCACTGGATCCAGTTTATGTGTAAAATTTGCCATATTTTCAGCATATTTGTTGCCATAGCAACCAAAATTTTCAACATAGGAAGAAAAGAAAAAGACGTGCATTATCTCAAGACTGCCATCTACCCATATGTCAAGTTTCATAAAAATATTTCCAGTACTTTTTGCGTTATCACTGGATCCAGTTTATGTGTAAAATTTGCCATATTTTCAGCCTATTTGTTGCCATAGCAACCAGAATTTTCAACATAGGAAGAAAAGAAAAAGACGTGCATAATCTCCATACTGCCATCTATCCATATACCAAGTTTCATAAAAATATTTTCAGTACTTTTCAAGTTATCGTGGGATCCAGTTTTGTGGACGGACGGACTGACGGAGGGTAAACCTAAAGTCCCCTCCGGTAAACCGGTAGGGGACTAATAAAACATATCTTCTCTTATAATCTTATGTAACTTGGGACTGTGTATTCGATGGTATGAAATCATTGCTTTACAATAACCAGCATGTACAATATATGAAATTGTACTTCTTATAACATCCAATTTTTCTCAATAGAATAATTGTTTAACGTAATTGACTTTCATCTTCAAAAAATCTTTAGCTTAATTTGGATAATTAATTGATAAACAAACATAATTGTCTTTATTCAATTTTACAAATGGAACTTCAATCAAATGTTATATATAACTGGTAAGTTGTTTTAAGTTATCTCGACACTAGAAGCACTATAATAATGCTGCCAGTTTACAACTAGGTCAGTGTACACTTTGTTTAGTCTTACTTGACTCTATACAGGTTCCTGCTGTAATGTCGACATTTCAACTCACAATTCAAATAAAGATAATATAGTACTGTTACAAATATTCATATATTTGATATCAATTTAACATAATTAACTTCACAAAAGACCAAGTTCATTTCATTAGCAAAACATCCTAAGTTTGGTAAATTCCACAAGTTTGATATTCCATCAACATGTGATATATTACACTGACATGTCTAAATTCGACGTCATTCAGACAAAAATGGCTAACTTATCACGTTCTGAACAGCAGTGGCCATAGCATTAAATGTAGAAATATGACATCCGTTGAAAAACTGAATATTTTTGTGATACTTAAATTTTGCCAATTTCATCAAAATATACAAAGGATCAAATAAAATGTGAACATATCATAAGATTACCTGATAGTGTTAAGCAATATGTCAATAAAGAAATTGTAGTTCTCTGCTGGAACATTACCACGAGCTAGAAATACCTGAAATACAACAGTCAACATCATGTGAACCATATATATTATACTCCTCTCACTTGACCATTATTATTTTACTAAAATTCATTTCTTTTAATTAAGATATGATGTTGTACATAAAGATTTACATAAAACTTTTTATCACACAGCCGTGCCGATTTTGCAACTCCGTAATTCATTTTAAACGGTCTTTATTTTGGGTGTGTGATAAATAGAATACTTAGTATTAAATTTGTGTAAGTTCATTACTGAATTTATTGCACTTGTTGAATAAAATAATATAATGCTCGCCAGAGGCCCGCATTATATAATTTTATTCAAGTCCTGCAATAAATTCAGTATTGAACTTACACTCACTCAATATCCTCTATAACCAAAAAGTAACATTGACACCAGGGTTAGTAGTATAGCCTCACATTTCTTTGAATAGTAGAGCTAAAAAAACACAAATGGCTTTAGTGTAAAACAAAGGGAGGTAACAATGATTATATATATTAATTTACCTTGTTATAACTACCCTCCATCAGGTATTGTTCCATGGAGACAGGGTGTTTGATGTATATATTATTCTGTAACTCTTTCACAGGCAACAATTCCAACTCCTAAACACGATAACAAATTATACGAGATTATTACCATCATTATTTAATAGCTGTATTATAAACACATGTTAAACAAACATTATTTAGCTGTGTTACAAATACATGTTAGAAACATTTAAATTTTATGATACAGTAATTCAATTTTCTCAGTACATATACAATAAAATTCCAATAAAATTCTCAGTTGACACTCGCTGAATAAACAAATTACAGAGTGTTGTAGTTAACAATAAAGCCATTGATATATGCAGGCTCAGAATTCACAAGTTACACTACTTACAGTTGTATTAGGTAAAGAGTTGTATTAGATGATGACTTATAATAAAATCCCTTACAAAATTAAATGATTGATTCTAATTATACAAAACAAGGAAGATTCAGCGTACCAATATTATAAGATAAATGTAAGAACTTACAGTATGAAACTCAGCCAGTCTGTTCTGTGACAACAAACATAGGAGATTCAATCCTAGTAACTGATATTTATATGTTGACTCCGGTAAATTATCTCTACAATATACATACATATATATATGTTGACTCTGACTCCGGTAAATTATCTCTACAATATACATACATATTTATATGTTGACTCTGACTCCGGTAAATTATCTCTACAATATACATACATATTTATATGTTGACTCTGACTCCGGTAAATTATCTCTACAATATACATACATATTTATATGTTGACTCCGGTAAATTATCTCTAAAATATACATACATATTTATATGTTGACTCCGGTAAATTATCTCTAAAATATACATACATATTTATATGTTGACTCCGGTAAATTATCTCTACAATATACATACATATTTATATGTTGACTCCGGTAAATTATCTCTACAATATACATACATATTTATATGTTGACTCCGGTAAATTATCTCTAAAATATACATAAATATATATATGTTGACTCCGGTAAATTATCTTTAAAATATACATACATATATATAGTATTTATGTTCTCTCTATTGTTATAATTGTTAATTTCTGATTTTTTTACAACTACATTTACATGTATAAGATAAATAAGAGAACGTGAACCAGTAGCAATGTCATAAATTTTCTACTACAGATATAGAGTACATTCAAATGCATACCCAAGATATTATAATATATAAACAAGAGTTAAATAACTTTAGTTACAGTTCCTTGTTTTTCTTGTGTTCAGCTTCAATTATGAAGCATTTCCAAATTAATTTTCAAGTCTTTTTTTTAAACTAAAGCCAAAATAATTATGTACTAACTTAATGTTGTAATTTTATGTTATGACTTTTTTTATACGATACATGTAATGAAAACAACATACTTGTAATCCATATAGTAACATTTAAGTTGTGCCATGAACCTTTCAAATGCTGGTATATCCTTCTTGGCAATTGCCCACTGAGCACCAACTTCAAGTATATCTCCTGAAATAGCAAAAGTTTATATCATATTAGCAAAAGTCATTTTATCTGCTAGTTTTATTTGTTGTTGTTCTTTTTTTTTCCACCTTTTTTTTATGTCGCATGATACGAATACAGTATAAGTCATATGGTGACTTCCCAGCTTTACCAGAGGTGGAAGACATTGTTATTTCAGGCACATAAAGGGCACCTGAGTAGAACCACCAACGTTCAAAAAACTAGCTAGATAGCTTTCTGTTTAATGGAAGAATTCGAGGACACTGGCATGACTCAACCTATATTAGTGAGAGGTAAGGGGTTTGAAATCAATGACTATATAAACTACTCTGCCACACTTGGCCCTTGTCTGCTAGTAATAATGCCACAACATCACGAAAATAATGACAACCTTTTTCCACAAGATGATGAAGGCAAACAGAGTCTCTTTAGTAGAAAAATAAGCATAGAAATAGATGTTGTACCTACTGATTAGCTGGAAAACCCCAAAATATTCTTAATTCCAGAGTAAGTCTTAATAATTGTGTTACAGTAACTTTACAAAAATTGTAAAAGGATGGAACAGGTATTACACATTTTTTTCAGAATAACCATTTTATCCATACAGAAAAGATACATGTATAATAGTGCTGTCACCTGTGTGTTATACATATGTATATACCACCAATACTCAAAATTCTTTTGAGAGTAACAATTATCACCCTTACAAAAAGCCTTCTGAAAATCATAAAATAAACAGCTTCTGGAAATGTTAAATTTTATGATCTTTAAAATTTCAAATCAACAATCTTTATTTTCAGAAAAAAAATACAACATATATATATAGACATATCATCAGGACTTAGAACTGTTGCCAAAAGTACATGTTATGGTTAAAACATATTTATTTAAGCTTGATTGCGAAACAAGTTCCTCCAACATATATTAATCACTTTTGAGTCCACTTCCTGGAACGAACCAGTCATATGGCCATACTGGTGACATATGAAGAAACATGATTGTGACCTGATAAGGGCTCTAACCCATGATTCCTGGGTTGAGAGGCAGACACCTTAACCACTAGGCCACAGCTTCCCTTGTTATGATGTTCATGCTAATTGCATTGCTCCAGGAAGATAGTCTTGCCCTGAGTCAATCTCTACTTGTAATTACAAGCCATGAAGTGGATTTGTCAAGCCCATTTTATGTGATTATGAAAAAACTTTAACAGTAACACAGGCTTAATATATATTTTCCTCTATTTAAAAATATTTATACAATTCAAGAAATAATCAGAACAGGATAGGTCACAATGATTACTATAATAGCACCCTATTCTATGTTTGACGAATGGAGGTGAAATAAAGACTTACTTGCTACAAGAAGCTCCTGCTTTGAAGGTGAAGAATCATCTGTTGGAAGGAATGAAACTTGTGTTAATGCAATCTGAAAAAAAAATAAAATCATAAACATGTTGATTTAAATTACACAAAATGTATTGAGAGTAATTGTGAGTGACAAATTCTGAATGGCAACATGGACTTTTTAGGAATTTATAGATTAACTGGATGTAAAGGTTTAGTTGGACTCAAAGGACTATAGTTTTAGCTAGGCTATAGAAGTGTGTTATGACCAGTATCGGGAGTACTGTTTTTGAAGTCAGTCAGTATAGTTGTTAGTTGAGAATTTGGTGGAAATAAACTCATTTATTACATGCTTTTCGGAGGTTTATAGAAATATATCAGTGATTTAAAACTGGTAATTTCACTGTTTGAAACAGTGAAATTACCACTTTGATAATTTCACTGTTTTGAGTTTAAGCCCATTACGTTGTTTCAGTCAAATGCCAGCGTGCACAGTACTGGGTACCAACTGAATGACGTGACGTCGTAATATGACGTCACGTTGTATTATTATTTGGCGCGCTTTTCATTCAGTATTAGGTTTTATATCTTTTTAAAACGTTTCTTTGCATATAATAAAAAGAAAATTTGTTTAGTTTAGTGTAAGATCGAAATATATTTCACCTTGTGAACACCAAAAGTTCATATTTCACTCGTGGCTGCGCCACTCGTGAAATATACCTTTTGGTGCTCACTTGGTGAAATATATTCCGCTCTTACACTGAACTAAACAAATATCCTCTATTTCTTTTACACTGGAGAGTTGATTATTTCTTGAGTTCTGTTATATCCTTGCCAAGAGAACCATGAAGTGTTACATAATTTTCTTAAGCACTTAGGAGAAGAAGGGGTGGGCAATTTGGTTATTTTGTACCAGGGAATTTTCACCCAGTAATTTTTTTCCTTATATAGTGGTATGAATTATTATCCTGCATAATTATTATGGACACATTTACAATCACCAACAGTCGATCACAATCTTCAGAATTCTATAAAAAAAAATTCACAATCGACACAAATTAATCTCACAATTTGGTCTTTTTCCTGATTTTTCTTATAACAGTGATTAAAATCTCAATTAGCCATTTTGTTGTTGTAATTTTTAAAGTTACTGCCCATAATACTGCCCATAATAACTGAAAATTGAATTGCTTCCAATTTGATACACAGATTTTCTATTACTAGCATGCGAGCAGTTTCTGTATAGAAGCAGTACCCTTATTTTTCATTTAAACGCTTGATTTTTACTTGCATTCTTCAAAAATTGATATCAAATCAAGCAGATACTTAAAAGAGACTAAATTTAAGTGTCAGTTTGGCAGTACATATAAAAAGTTTTCATTTTAAATCAATTTTACCTGTGCGTTGTCAAAACATGAAATTGATTCCTTCCTTGTGCGCATGCTCAAAAATACATGTACTTACTCAGTGTTCAATCTAGAAAAAATTCCCAGGGGGCCCTTCGGGCCCATAAACTTTTCAAAAGGGGGTCATTTGAGAAAAAAGGGGGCCCACACTTTAAAGAACATCAAATTCAAATAAGGTATTGTATCTTTTAAGTTACTTGTTCACATACCATATTTAGACCAAAAACGGTTGCAAAATTCCAAAACAACTCAACTAAAAAAAATGACATTAGCGTTGATACAGGCTCAATTTTAAGAACTGATTGGTAAAGAAACGCGATGACATAATGTTCAAAGAAAAATAGACTCTTATTTTAATGTTACCAGGGATATTTGATAATGATGTTCAGTTTTTTAATCAGCGCCCGATATATAAAGGAAAATCATATTTTGAAATTAGCTTTGTTTATGAAGAATATAAACTTACAATAGTCGCTAAAAACATTTACCCTTCTCAATATATCCAAGCGAAAAACAAAGTGTCAACAGGTGCTAAGACAATGTATATTGACATACCGGTACCTTTGATCTTTTGTCAGGGCAGCAGTTCTTACGTCACGCTTAAGATGTCGGTATTGATTAATGATATGCAAAATGTTTTAGCGCCGACCAGCCAAAGACAAATCAAAGTTAATTTACTTAATTGTCAGACACGCCCTAGCCAATCGTGTTTGATTGCTCCATCTTTAAGACTTTTTTAATTGGATGAAGGCGTGTTCGTAATAATTTATGCACACTTCTCTATAATTAACTCGCACTTTTCACATATATATATATATATATTTTTTTCCTTTGGAAAGTTATTACATATTTATTTGTTTTGACCGTGAAAAAACTATAACTACACGCACGTATTGGATTATCTGTGACGATTTGTTTTGCTCATAAAAACTGTGACTCAAAAGTAAGTAATAGTTACGGTACGAAGAACAAGTCTACATGGTATTTACAGACGCGGACCGAGAGAGCGTAGCGATAAAGGTTTTAAATGGGTTACCGAGTGCGGTAAACTATCTTACCAACATGCTCTTGTTTTTCAATACAAACTTCAGTTTTGAATTCAGTATTTATTAATATTATTCACAAGAAACTTCTTTTATGTACTTAATCAGGTTTAAGAAAGCATTCTAATGTCATTTAGGGCATTTTCTATGAGTGCGCCCGTCGGGCCCACAGTTGATTTTGTTTTGCGCCGGCGGCCTTTTCAGGGGGTCAATGGCGCGCTCTAGATTGAACACTGCTTACATTAGAGGCCTGTTAAAGGGTTTTCCACTAAAACCACCTATATACAAATAAGGAGGCAATGTGACAGACATTCCGAAAAGTATTTTAACCTTACTGGACATTCAGTCCAGCAATCTTGAAGAATCACTCAGGGTTCGACACTAACTGTTTTTACCAGGGATCCCATAGGAATCCCTGAGATTTAATTCAGGGATTCCTCCTAAATGTCAGGGATTCCTCAGATCAAAATAGTAAAATATGGAGGCGAAGAATAACAAGGGAGTGCAGCAATTCGATTTCAAATTCTTTTCATTTTTGAGACAACATACAGGATATATTGCCTTGTTTCAGATGCAGAAAATGTAGTTTATGAGCCCTTTGGAAATAAGGCTATTTTAAGTTTTAAAAGCGTTTCAAAGTGTTAACTTTACTAGTATATATATATATATTTGGACTGCTAAGATAAATTAAAACATAATATATTTTTACATGAACATGGAAACAGAATAACATTAAGCTCACTGAACAAGAGTTCGATTTGAAAATAGCTATCTTGCTAAAACCTGTTTTCTCCCTTGAGTTGATAATTGTGAACCAGTTTCTGTATCTAAATGAAGGTATAATGCAAGTGACTTGACAAGGTGGTTTGAATTTTTGAAGTAAAATAGGAACTGGGGAAACATTTTCCCAGATAGCCAAGGGTTCACTGAAATAGAGCCCACTTATCATATGTAGATCTTTAAAAAGTTACAGGTAATGATTAGGCTCCATATTCCAGAAAGGTCTGGTATGGATAACTGTCTATAATTATTTACTTTCATGTCATTTTTAAGGAAATTCTTAATTATGATCACTTTAAGAAAATATTTGATTTCATTTTACATTTTTGTGTTAAAAAGGAAAAATCCCATAGATTGTTGTAAATTAAATATTTTGATAATTTTTTACTTAAGCTAATAAAAATATCAAGAAACAGTTTTGTTTGCATTACAAGTACGGTACCTTTAAATGATTTCATTTTTAAAAATGATAAGTTGCTCCAAGTCCATGACAGGATGTGCGATATCCAAATTTATTGTTCTCAATTTTTACACTGAAGTGTCCGATCCCTTTCCCAGTCTTCGACTTAATTTTTTATCAGCACTAGCCCAGTCGGGCTAGCAGCTTACAAATTTCACTAGCCCAAACACATTTTAACTAGCCCGAACCAAAATGGTATTTTTTGCATACATTTTGTACAAAAATAACACTTTCTATGTTTTATATACCATTTAACATTATGAAAATATCAACTAATCAACTTTTCTTCCTTTCTTTATTTAAATAAGAAGAGTTTAAACTACACATGAAAAGGAGATATTTTGATATTTCTGTGGCGTGGCATTGTCCACAGACACAGAAAAAAATTGTTTAAAAACTGAAAACACTCTTCTCCTCGTTTACTGTATTAACCATGTCGGCTGATACAAGCATTGACAACATATTTATATTCCTTTTCGTATTACTTTTTTATTTTTGGTGTGTTCCTTTTTGGCTTAGTGCCTTCAAAATACAAGAGAAAAGACATATTGTGCAGCATGAGATGACGCCTAATAAATGTCTAACAATCAATAATATTTCATAAGTGTTTTAAGTTCAACAAGCATTTGATAGTATTGCGGGCAATACAGTAGTCCCCTACCGGTCCCTCAAAAAGTTCTTTAATTGTCATACACTCCTGTGTATTGCCATTTATAATGAATTTGAGGATGAAGTCTGTATTTGAAAATATCAACCACAAAACATAATAAAATAAGTTTGTCTATATCACAGTAATGTGTTAAGTTTCCAGGCTTAGTAAGGAAATTATGTTTATACAACCTTGTCATATTATTACGATGTGGGATTTTAAAGTAAATCCTATAAGGAATGAAGAAGTTGGAGTGAAAATACCAATTTCTCGAAAAAAATCTAAGTTCAAAGGGGACATAATTCTGGAAATAGTCTTGCTAGAGTATTTAACCTTCTCAAAAATGTCGAGTGATAATAAGAAACATATATATGAAGTTTGAAGTAGATACATTAGGAAATAAAGAAGTTATTTAAAAAAGACAACATTTTTTCCTCTAAAAAATCTAAGTTCAAGGGAGGTAATACTGATATTTTTTGTGCTAGAGTTATAAACCTTGTCACATATGATGTGGTTGATGACCAGAAACTTATATTTAAAGTTTGAAGTAAACACCTTAAGAAATAAAGAACATATAGTGAAAAAGCTGAAAAATTTAAATCAGAAATCTTGAAATTCAGGCTATTTGTTGCCATAGCAACCAGAATTTTCAACATAGGAAGAAAAGAAAAAGATGTGCATAATCTCCAGACTGCCATCTACCCATATTTCAAGTTTCATAAAAATATTTTCAGTACTTTTTGAGTTATCACTGGATCCAGTTTATGTGTTAAATTTGCCATATTTTCAGACTATTTGTTGCCATAGCAACCAGAATTTTCAACATAGGAAGAAAAAAAAAAGACGTGCATAATCTCCATACTGCCATCTATCCATATATCAAGTTTCATAAAAATATTTTCAGTACTTTTTGCGTTATCGTGGGATCCAGTTTTGTGGACGGACGGACTGACGGACTGACAGACTGACAGACAGACAGACAGACGGACAGACAGACGGACGGACAGACGGACGGAGGGTAAACCTAAAGTCCCCTCCGGTTAAACCGGTAGGGGACTAATAAAGCTGCAAATAATTTTTAGGGCCAAGGTGGTGTACCCATCAAAATCTAGAGTAAAATAAAAATTCTGGGGTAAAATTTATAAAAAGAATTTGCATTGTTTTGTTATCAAATTCCATTGCCTTCTAAAAAGTTCCTTTCTTTACATAAATCAGACTGACTTATATAATAAAATGTTGATTCAACGTTAAATATAACAAAACTTGCTCTGTTAAGGCAGGCTTCCCTAGACTAGGGTTTGTTAAGGTTACACAACAAATTAATGACAAGACTCATTTTTTTGTTGCTGACATGTTGTTGTTTGAATGTGTCACATTCTTTTACAATCAGCTACATGGTCAGCATGAGGCTTTTATTCATACTCTATTTCTACAGTCTACATTTTAGTGCCGCTCTTTGGTTTTGATTATTTATGATTAAAATTAGAATTAATGAAAAATAAATATTATAGAATTAAAACTTTTATACACAAAGAATTAGTCTTTGAGGAAATTGTCCGTAACTGTAAACTTGGTACGAAAATATTGAGTACAAAACTGCAGATGGCAAGGGAGAAATGTTTTCCAATAACTAAAGTGGCAAGTACAACATTTTTCTTTATTTTGTAGCAAAAACATTATAATATATGTCTAAACAAATTGAATATTAGGTTAAGTCCTACGATGATTACACCAAATTTAACTTTATCAATAAATTCATTTCAGAAACTCCCAAGAGTTACCTTCCCTTTTTACTCGATGTCACTTCCTGCTACTTTCGTTTTCAACTTACATTAGTGTTGACAATAGTACTTTTAGTTTTCCATCCAATTCAGCAGAAATATATTGTATTTTCATAAAGCCAAAACATTGCTATCTGAAGCTCTGCATATTTCCAACATTTTCTTAATTTGGATATGAAAAAAGCCCTCGACCAGACGGGCTATCAGCTTGGAATTTTCACTCGACCACCCGCAAATTTACTCGACTCGGTCGTCGGTCGAGTGGGTTAAGTTGAAGACTGCTTTCCTCCCTGTGTATTGATTTTTTTGTAAGTTTTGACACCTGTCACATCAAAGGCACTCACCCATACAGCAGTCATGTAGCTCACAACACTGATTGGCTCAAAGCACTGTCAGATGAAATATACGTCATTTGCTGTATATTTCGTCATTTGCTGTATGTTTCACGTAAGGATTTTTGTATTTTTTGTCGGTAAATAATGCGTGACCTTGATTGACCTTAGACTTTAGTTAGACAATGTTTTTTTAGCATTGAAGGCTGTGAGTTTCAAAAAGGATGTTAAACTTAAAAGTATGGATTCTTTTTATTTTGTTTATTAATTATACTTTTGCTGTAGTCTACTGTAGGGAGAAAAAATACACCAGTTATCTTTTTTTCACAATTTTGACGAAAATTTACAATGGTCACAAGTGCGAATTTTGGCAATAAAAAACAAACAACAAACGTACAGTAGCTACCGCCGGCATTGCCGATCAACACAAATTTGAAGTACACATCGCTTGTGTAATAATTATACAATAATTACATTTCTTTTTTGAATTTTCACAACTCTATTTTATGAAGTCAATGCATGATATAAAATTATACAAGAATGTTTCTTAAGTCAAAACATTTTTGTCATTTTTTATCGCAAATGAGTTGATAGCAGTCACTGCTCAAAGAAAATCTAGAGTACATAATTCAAGAGTGTAGATTTTACCGGCCGGGTTTTTCTTTTCTTTCTTGAACCACTTTTCTTGAATATTTGTGTTTCATTAATTCAGAAAATTTCAAAAATTTACACAGCAATTTTTCAGGGATCCCAACAGAATCCCCAGCTAGGAATCACAGGGATTCCTCCCGACTTTTTGGGATCCTCGGAATCCCGGAACCCCGTTAGTGTTGAACCCTGTCACTGGACCTAATCAGTTTTCCCTGGAGAGAAGGGTTTAAACGCATTTGACCGGGCCGAGCACCTTCAAAATAGCGTAAAACACTCATTTCTTGTAGTCGCCAAAACTAATAATTTTCAAACCAGAAGTAAGTATTTGTTTACGTGCCTTACCCTAATAAGGATAATACTACTAAATTTTTTAATGATTTTATCCTGATTAGTACTAGTTCTACATCATACTGCTTTAAAATCGTTTACGATCACTCTAAGCAGGTATACATTACTTCGTAATGGCAAATTTATTTATGACAATTATTGATTTGGAATACGTAATACTGATAATTACTGTGTTTATTTTAATTCTAAATATCATCCTGAAGATCGTTTACATAAAAGTTGAATGTAAAATCTTAAGATTGTTACTGGACAGTCGCACCAGCTCGGACAGAATTTTTCCTGGTCCGAAAGAAATTTTACCGGTCAGGTCCGTCAGACCGGCACTTTTGAATTGTCTGATGTGATAAAAACCTGTTTATCAGAATTTTTTGCTAAATTACTTTATTAAATAATTCTATGGCTTTAATGAGTAAAATATGCATACAGGTACACCATTGCATGCGAGTGCGTTGGGGTACCGGGTAATAGATAATATATATCAGTTTAGTCTACACCCTTTATCCTGAATTACATCTATCTACCTCTAGGAAAATGATCTCTTCAACAATTATAAATGACAAATAGGTCTGATATAACAACATTGTATAATTATAATGGGTTATAATATATTCTATGTACCGGAACTACTTCTCTTCAAACAAAATAATGGATAATTTAGGTACCCCATATGACTATGAGGCTACATAACTAAGGGTTATTCTATTTTAAGAACATAATGGAATTTCCATAATTTGACGGGCCGAATATTGCTGAGTAACATTCGTGTGATGGGCCCAATATTGATGCGTAACATTCAATTTTTTCACGAGTAATAAAAAATAACTTTTAAGTTACTATTTTTGTACGGAAACTGCTGGCATGCTAGTACAGTTTTATCTAGTAAATGTCTGAAAAGGCAAAAATATATGCTAAACCACAGAATTTCTATTTTATAAAAAAGACCCCAAAAAAACCTGATTGAATGGTAGTCCTATAACATATTACATAAGACGTTTCCGTTAGTACTACATACACTCCAACGTCCAACACCAATCCAATTTATACCACTTTCACCGCTATATACATTCGGCCATATTACCTGTATACATGTGGGTGCGTTTTGCTAAAGGAACTTTTGAAGAAGTCGATTAGACGTTGGAGTGTACGTAGTACTAACGGAAACGTCTTATGTTATAGGACTTATATCAATCTGCTAATTGTCAATTGAATGGGAAATTTTTGACAATAATTTTCAAATTTAAACTGCCTCTTGATTTCTGTCAGACTGACATTTCTGGTATGCAAGGCTTATCTGGTACAATCTTAACCACACTTTCGAAAGCTTTTATCTTTAATAGATTTATATAGAATCCTAACTTTGCCGGCATTATCGCGAAAACACATTGCGTGACAAAGCAGATTTTTTTAGACGGTCTTAAATAAGTAAGTACGACTAACTGATAAAAATGTCATATAAAATTCAAAAGACATACTTTTAATTTTGATAGTAATTCCCCACATCTGTCTAAATTTGTTGGCTTTTTGTCCCATTCGCGTTTCAAACTTTGGTACATAATCACAATTTCTTTCAGGGAAGCCATGATGTGTAATTTACACGTTGTGATAAATGAACAAACGTCATTGGTAAGACAGTCCTATCGATTTTTCTGTAGAAATGAAGCGTCGAAATACCGGTAAATTTCATAGGCACTTGGTTTCGGGATAAAATAACCCTTTTTAGAGATTTGTAGAACTCAAATATAAAAAGTGTGTTTCAATTTTTCAACGTAGATCTCTCCTTTCTAAAACCGTCAAATTTCAGATATTACTTTTTTTAGTAACATCGGAAAAATGACGAATTTAGAATCGAGACATCTACGTTAAAAAATCTTTATCCCGAAACCAGGTGCCTATGGTAAATTTGTGGTTTCAAAACTGGGAAGGTATCAAATTGTGTTTTTTTTTCTCACCATTATTCATTGTTTTCTATGAGGCCGGTGACAGGGGGCCTGGACTGTAGCTTGCAATTACCAATACCGCCCACGATCAAACTCAGCCTGCAAAATTTTCATTTCCTTTTAATGTAAGTTTGAATATAGAAATCAACTCCAGTTTCAATTTAAAAATGTAATTATTTTATTTGAAAATTATACAACGTACGTTTCGACTCAAAAGTCTTCATCAGGTATACTTTGTTTACAGGAAATGACGTCAACGTCATATGACGTCAAGGACAACGACGTCAAAATTTAATACAAAATTTGGCGTATAAATGTTATATGTAGGATCTTTATAAAAGATACAAAACACTGGTGAAGATGCAGTAAAAAGCAATGTAAAATAAGAAAACCAGCATAAACTACATACTGACATGAAATTAGTTTTAAGTCATATTAAGCAAAAAATAGAAAATACAATTTTTATAAAAAAAAATATTAAAATGAAGAATTATAATGTACAAAATTAATAAAGTGATGATAACTATATACAAAATTTAGGAACAGCTATGGGAACTAAAATGGCACAATCTTATGCTTCATTATTTATGGGAAAATTTGAAATGGATTTTTTAAATACATGTGAAAGAAAACCCTCAATATGGCTGCGATTTCTTGATGATATTTTTTTCATTTGGGACCACAGTGAAGAGGAGCTTATTACATTTTTTAATGAAATTAACAACTAACACACCACTATTAAATTTACTTATAACTACTCAAAAACAAATGCAACATTTCTAGACGTAAATTTGGAAAAGAAAGATAACTGTGAAATTGAAACTAGTGTCCATGAAAAAATAACAAATGCCCATCAATATATTGAATTTTCTTCATGCCATCTCTTGTCATGTAAGAAAGGTATTCCATTTAGCCAGGCTAAACGATACAGACGAATTACATCAAATAACTTATATGAAAAAGACTGTGACAAACTACGAGGTTATTTCCGTGCCAGAAACTATCCAGAAAATATCATTACAGACACAATTACCAGAGCATCAACTTTATCGAGGGAGGATACATTAAAATTAAAAGACAAATCAGAAGAACGTGAAAATATTATCCCGTTTGTGTGTACATTTAATCCATCTTTACCCTATATAGGTAAAATAATTAACCAATATTGGAACCTATTGAAATTTTCTCCAAATGAAAGTGTACGTAAATTATACAAATACAAACCAATTGTTGCTTATAAGAGACCGAGAAATTTACAAGACAATTTAGTTCATACTCATATTTAAATGCCAAATTCATGGTTGGTTCAGTATCTAAATGTTGTCGACCTCGTTGTACTCATTGTAATAATATTGTTGAATCTAATAATTTTTCAAGTACTACTATACCTAAAGAATTTGCTATAAAACGTGATTTTTCATGTATATCTTCAGATGTCATTTATCTTATAACTTGTAAAAAATGTAAAAAAACAGTATGTTGGTCAAACTCAGCAAAAATGTAGTCAAAGAATGAATAGCCACAAATTTGATATTAAACACTTTCCTGACACTATTACCAATGTATATGAACATTTTAATTCTGAAGGGCATTCTATCAAAGATTTTTCATTTATGCCAATTGATAAAGTAAAGAATAATTGGCAAAGCTTATTAAAAGAAACTTCATGGATGTATAAGCTAGGTACAATTATTCCTGATGGCATGAATTCCAAAATACTTTATTAATTTTGTAGATTATAATTCTTCATTTTAATTTTTTTTTATAAAAATTTTCTATTTTTTGCTTAATATGACTTAAAACTAATTTCATGTCAATATGTAGTTTATGCTGGTTTTCTTATTTTACATTTCCTCTTAAAGCATTCTTTAAGGATTCCGATTTCTTTATTATTACATTTTCCCTGCACTTTTTGCACCAACCGATCCAATGTCTGACCGTTTTTAGCTCACCTGACCACGAAGTGCATGGTCAAGGTGAGGTACATGTATAGTGATGGGGCTATATCCGTCGTCCGTCGTCGTGCGTAGTGTGTCGTCAAAAATTGGATTGTTAACAACCTACCAGTCACAGTTTTGATTGGATCATCATCGAACTTTGTTAGAATGTTTATCTCAATGAAATACAGGTCAAGTTCGAAGATGGGTCATCTCGGGTCAAGAACTAGGTCACATGCAGGAGCTAAAAATAGAAAAAGCTTGTTAACACTCTAGTGGCTGCATTATTGTTCCAAATTTCCTGGAAATCAGTCAGGAAGGTTGTTTGGATGATTTCTAGGTCAACTTCGAATATGGGTAATCTCCGGTCAAAAACTTGATCATAGGGGCTAAAAATAGAACACTCTTGTTAACACTCTAGTGGCTGCAGTTTTTATCCAAGCATGCTGGAAATTGGTCAGGAAGGTTGTTTTGATGATTTCTAGTCCAAGTTTAATATGGTTCATCTCCGGTCAAAAACTAGGTCCACATATTTTGAAATATCAGGAAGGTCGTTTTGATGATTTCTATGTCGCGTTTGATTATGGATCACCTGTGGTCAAAATATAGGTCACACTGCCCAAATATGGAAAAAACCTCGTAAATACTATAATGGTAACATTTTGACTCAATTCTCATCAAACTTGGTCAGGATGCTTGTCTTGTTAATTGCTTGGAGGACTTAAATATGGGTATCTCTGATGAAAAACTAGGTCACAGGAGCTAAAAATAGAAAATCTTGTGAACGCTCTAGTGGCTACTATTGTTATCCAAATATCATGGACATTGATCTGCCAGTTTGTTTTGATGATTTCTAGGTCAAGTTCCAATATGGGTCACCTGGGGTCAAAAGCTAGGTCACACTGCCCAAATGTGGAAAAACATTTTGAACACACTAGAGGTCACATTTTTGACTCAATTATCATTTAACTTGGTCAGGATGCTTGTCTAAGACATTGCTCGGATACGGTTGATGGGTCAGGGGAGCGATCTAGGGCCATCTTTGCCCTCTTGTTCTTTACATAGATTATACCGCTGTAAATGATAAAATAAAAAAGTAGAAAATTTAAATTAAGTTTTTTCAGTTTATTTCTAGTCATATTGGCCACAGGCCCAAAATCTAAAGTACAACAGCACCATCAAACAATTGCAAAAGCATTTGTAAAGCTACTTGTAATGGATTGAATTATTAAATGATTATACAGTATTAAGCTTTTACTTTCTTATATTCATTGCATGATATAACTATTTAGCGATTGATGTATCTTTTTCTGTTATTGTTGATGACACGAGGGAATAAGATAAATCATGGGAATAGTGATGTAATCATGTATCAGCTCTGATATTGTTATATATAGTGAACACATAGTGAAGAAAAAATGATATTAATCCTCAATAACATAAATTTTTGTCTTTAAGCAAGGAAAGCAATATCATAAAACTCTACACATTCCAAGATGTCTAACTTTTTCTACCATAAGAATATGACATGAATAGCGAAAATTAGAACTTATATCTGTTAAATCTGAACTTAAATATCGTTCAACATCAAGTAAGGTCTTAAAGTGCTTGTAATGAAAAGGAACAACTTCACAGGTTCATTAGTAAAAAAAATATTCATTTTGTTTCAAAACCCCGCCATTTTTATAATGAAAGTTAAATTTAGCACCTCAATCTATCTTATTAAAGGTAAAAAAATTACAGTTTTTGACGAGTCTTTCTTCGGTAATCGGTATGTATAAAAGTTTTCCGACGAAATCCGCAACATTTTCCAGGAACTACGCGATAGTTATCAGAAGAACTCCTGACAAGTTATCATAAAGACTCCATCCTCCGTGAGACAGTTCCTCCCCCGTGAACTCGTGTAGAAGCAAGGGAACGCAAATTGACCATATAGAAGCCGTTTTGGTTAGTCACACGAAATATTACTGAAGAAAATGAACTTCTAATCTCTTTTTCTTATGTATTTCCAGGTATGTTGTGACACACACAAAAAACAAGGTAAATATATTGGGAGTACACATGTCATTTTAACCAGAGGTGACGTAATACCTACCTGTATGTACATTTCATGTTGGGCAAATGAAATTAAAAATCATTACATGTGTTATGAAACAGAGCATGATAGATTTTTTAATCAAATATCAAAAAAATGTGTCACTCATTAAATGACATCGTCGCGGAAATAAACTTGCACTACACCAAAATCTGGTAAAAGAAGATAATTCAATGTGTACATGTAAAATAGAAAAAAAATCGCACAGTTCCCACCCGTAAATAATGAAAATTAAGATTGGACATTATTTATAGGCTTAATCAAATAAGCAATTATAATCACTATTATTACATGAAGTACATGGAAAACATGTTAGCTATGGTGTCTCGGGGTGTCTTTAGGTAGTCTTGGGTGTCTTTAGGTAGTCTTGATGTGTCTTAGAGTGTCTTGGGGTACCGACGAATAAAAGCCTAAACAGAAAACGAAAGTACATGTAGTTACTATGGCAGTTAAGGGACTTTGGTGTAGCCGTTCACTATTTTTTTAATTGTTGCTCAAAATACTGACAAGGGTTCGGACAACGATATCATACACCAGACTGTGACAAATTTAGTGTGTCGTGTTTGTAAAAACAACGACAATTAGATTAGGTAGTCATAGAATTAGGAACAATGGATAGAAATTCAAGTTCAGACGAAGAATGTGAAGATGAAATTCCTACTTTCGACTTCACAAAACAGTCATGGAAAGATGATGTGACCTTTGTTTTTGATGAAAAGAAGCTGTACGCTTCAAAGTCTGTTTTAGCAATATTTTCACCAGTATTTGAGACAATGTTTGGTTCCGACTTTAAAGAGAAAGTAGAAAATGAAGTGGTATTGCCAGGAAAGAATGCTGATGACTTTGAAGAATTCTTACACTGTTTGTATCCCAAGTCAAACAAACGTGTCACTAAACATAATGTTCTTGTAGTGCTACCGCTAGCTCACGAATACCAAGTTTCAACGGTCATGAAAGAATGCGAAAGTACCATTCGGATGAATTTACAAGGCGATACAGTTTTGAATACAGAACAGTTGTTGAAATACTATAACGTTGTGTCACGTCTTGGGCTACCGGAATTAAAGCAAAATGTCATAGAAGAACTGCTTGATACAAAAGAAAGCAAAATGATTTTGAAAGAGGCTGAACAAACAATTTGCCCCAACTTGCTACATGAATTTAAAAATGACGTCATTGCTATACAAGAGGAGCGCCTCTTTGACTTTAAAACAAAATATGTAAAACAATATATGATGTCAACAAGAAACATCAGTGAATACGAACATGCAAGAGGAGATCTAATAGAACATCAGATAGTGAATGTTTTTGATCCTGATTTGCAAAATAATGTATACAGCAGATCGGTGAAAATGTGGAACGCAATTTTTTATATCAGCGCATCTGTAGATCAAAAAGCGGAGGAAAAACAGAGCGAAAAATATTTAGCTGTGTACCTAAACTGCAGTTTGCCAGATGACAAATGGTCATGTGATGTAACAGCTGACATCGTTCTTGAAAATGTGTTTGCAGTTCAAAATAAGGTTATGTCCAAAAGGAACATTTCTAAAGTGTTCAAAGGAAAAACTGCACCAGCATGGGGATTCTCTTCTTTCGAAAAGCTTTCGAAATTTTTGATTGGTACCACAAAAAATATTGAAAACTACACCGGAAAAGTTACTGTATTCATTTTAGCAAAGCAACCAGTAAAAGAAATTTAAGGACAATTCATAATCAAACAGAGAACACATAAATAAACATCCATTATCTGTTGTCATATGTATAGACACATTTAACAATAAGTAATTTGCTTTGTAAGATGTGACTTAATTTTCATTTTTTTTTGTAAATGATTAACAAAAGTTTTATGTTCATTTGATATTGTTAAGCTCATAATGTTTTTACTTTGGATGAAATGCATTCACACATACAAAATGTACTTTCTTGTAAATGGTAGACATGCTTTTGGGTTGTCGATGATTAGCTATACCATAGCAACTTTTTTGCAAGATTATTAATTGTGAATCTGCTAAAGCAAACTGTCGGAAACCAATGCTACTTATGTCAGCATATGTAAATGCCTACGTTTTCAAAACTATTACTCATCAGCGGAAGTTGTCGCTTCGGGGTGTTTGTTTAACATTTGAAAGGCTGACTATCGCATTGTTTAAGTAATGGATCGGCATTATTTTTAACATTCTACGTCTCAATTTTTTCGTCATATATAATGTTGAACTAATTGTTCATAAACAGTAAGCAAAAATACAGTATATATGATGGCAATATGTTCTAGAAGACCACACGACCGATAGAATATTGTTGTGAATGTGTGCTAATTTAAAAATCCGGATTTGTATAAATGTACATATCAACAAATTATTTTACCATTTTTATAAACTTTACTTTATACATTTAATGCGCCACTAAACTGAATTTTTCAAATATTGAATATGACACCGAAAAATGTACTTGCAATTTTCATTTATTAATTTAGAAGTAATTAAATGATTTTATGGTTAAATGACATTTGGCATCTTTAGGAATAGCCTAAACTTTTTTCATTATGATGTGTTAATGATATCAGTAAGTATATGTATAAAGTATTGATTTTTTATTTGTTTAGGGCTTGATATTTTTTTTCTTGATTAAGATTAAGTTACTTACATAGATCTTTACAGCATGTTGTCACTAGATACTTGGAACATTTTAACTTAATACTGAGAAATTTCAATAAAAGGTTATTGGCCGAACTCAACCTTGTTTGATATTTATACCTTTTTCATCTTCTAGGAAATGATTAAAGCTTTGTAACGCATATATACGGCAAAAACCTCTCCAAATACTCAAATTTAGATGAAGAAATTGCAATGACCAATTTGGAAACATCTGTATTAGTATCATAATACACTTATGATTCTTCTTGGTAAACCTTACCCCCTTCACACACACCTAGCCCCTTGATTCCCGTATCGGCCATTTTGGTTTTGTATTTCGTATTACCTTTTTTAAATACACATTAGTATGACTATATTAGCTTGTTTAAATATTTTCAGTCTGATAAAACACAGTTTTGTCATTTGGTCTCAAAAGTTTTTTGCATACTGTGGTTAATATCTGTACATTTTGTCAGTTTAAGGATCGGAAAAAGTGAATGGTTAAATCTTCTATATATATTTCGCAAAAAAGATAAAACTTTCTGTCATCTAGCCATTTCCAAAATTTATGCTGCATAATTAACTTTGGTCCATAATCTTGTTGTTGCAGAACAATAACTCTTAATCTGGAAAGGAGGGAGATCCATCGGAAGCATGGTGAAAACATATTACATATGTTTTGAAAATTTCAGACTGTTGCATTGTGTTTATCAATGAGAGATATTTAAAGAGAGCAACAATCTCTCACGCCCCCTAACAACGGATTAGAGCCGTGCTTTAAATAAGAGCATAACGAGATCTAGAAAGACTGATATTAAAGAAAAGGGTCATACCATACACTGATAATTTGAGTTTCAATTGTTTTATGCTTACAAATTATTGTTCCAAAAGACGGATGGAAATGCGAATCTTTAGACAGTCAAGGCAGAATTACCAGTAGATGGTGAGTGGTTTGTTGAAAAACATTACATTCAGAACGTTTTAAACTATATACGTGGTAGCATTTCCGTTTTATTGCACTGTCAACTTAAAACATTGATTTATTGATCGATCGATCGATCGATTGATTGATGATTGATTAATTGATTGATTTTATTGAAGCACATATGTAATAAAGCTTCATGTAGAAGTTATAATTTGTAAGTAAAATATAAGAGCAAAGCGCAACACGTGTCGTATAGCTGGTTGCACAGGCTAATGAGTCATACACGCTATATTCAAAAAGAATGACGAGTCAACATGTATATACATATATTAAGGTTTTTATTTCATAATGTGCACTATGGAACATGACTTTGATTTATGAATATTATAGTGCAGGATACATGCGGACACTTTTTAAAAATTTTAAAAAT